AATCTTTTTTCATCAGTGACGTCCTCAGCCCCCTCCTGTATTCCCTCTAAACTCATGACTGCATGGCGACACAGGCTTCAAACACCATTGTGAAGTTTGCTGACACAGCCGTCTGATCTCCCGTGTCGTTAAGACGGCTACAGAGAGGAGGTGACCACCCTGGAACAGTCCCCAAGACCGAGGAGGTCATTGTAGATTACAGGAGGAGGGGGGGCACTCACTCCCCCGTCACCATCAATGAGACAGGGGTGGAGGTAGTGGACACATTTAAATATCTGGGGGTTAACATTCACAAGGAGCTGACATGGGCTAACGACATCGCCCTGGTTGTCAAAAAAGCCCAACAGATCCTCAGGGACGTCTACTGGGGGACCATAAAGAGACTCCTGACTGGAATCACAGCAGCACCAGCATGGACCATAAGGGGCTGGAGATGGTGGTGCACACGGCCTGACACATAACTGGGTTTGAACTGCCCACTCTGCAGAAGCTGTACGCCCAGCGGTGCCTCAAAAAGTCCATGAGGATCATCAAGGACTCCACACATCCGAACAACAGCCTGTTCTCACTGCAGGGGGGGTACATGTCCCTCAAAGCACACAGCAGCAGACTGAGGAGCAGCTTCTCTCACCAAGCCATCACTTTTAAATAAATAAAACACCCAATGCACAAGTGCAATCACAGCCATGTATATTTCAGAATGTATTTCTTATGTACTTGTTTTTCTCCACATTTTATTTCTACTTTAACTGTTGTTTGTACCACTTAGTCACTATCTTTATTTTATTTCTCCACATTCAGGGCGACAATAAATATCTTGAATCTTGGAGAAGCCATGAACATAAAGCGGGACCATAAAGCAGCCTGCAGAAGCAGTGAGGACCTGTTGGAACAGGCCTAAGCCTTAACAAAGAGCATCCTGCAGCATAACACCACCTCTGTGCACTGTGGGAAACGGCTGGGGAAGAGAGACTCGCACAAAAGTATACCTTCCAAGCCGTGGACAGAACCACAATCACAGGTTAGCCTAAGGGGAACAAGAATACAGAAGAGTGGACAAAACCAACTGGACAGACTAAAAAAACACTTTTCTGAGGAGGGCAGATAAAATGTTAGTCTGACTGTGTGCACCTTTCTTTACACCTTTAGGGAAAGCAGGGCAGATATCACTTCTGCTACCACCCATGTGCACCCTAATAAGTATGTATGTTCATAAAGCTCTCTGCTGCTTTGTACTGGAGCCAGTGGAACACGACTAAATAGCCTTCAGTTTTATGGAGGGAAAAAAACGACCAAAAGCTGGAAATCCCAGAAAGCTTGAGGTGTCTTTGATCTTAGCTTCACTTGTGATGCACATCCATAACATGTTGTCACATCCACTACACATACATTAAAGCCAAAAGGAGTATAAGAGAAGAGGAAAATAGCGATGGCTTTTCAGGGCACTTAATACGGGGCTTTCTCTGCTGAGAAGCCACGTAAATCCTTATCAATTATGGCAAACTGCAGCATCTGGCTCGCCATTCACAAAACCTCCCACGCCCGCTGAGTGAGAAGAGACAAGATCCTACAGTGCCTCATATCTGTCGTCCCGTTTCTTTGGAGACGGTAAATAAATTGACAGAGCCGCAGCTTTAAGGCCCAGGAACCCTAATCCACTCCTGAATCCTAAATATGCACACTGAATAGAGCACATACTTTACATGTGCAGGGTGGCGGCGGCATGCTTCTCTCTCTATATTGTGCAAAAACACATTTTTGCTTCAATTAAGGGTTAGAATGGGTCCAAACACGATTCGCTGTGTTGTATAACTGTCTTCAACCACGCCTTGATATTAAAATGTTGGAAGAACATTTGATGCCATAAATAGTTACTGCAAAACAAAGCTGACACCTTCAAATGATACACCTTTAAGACTGGCAACCACAGCCAAACCCATGTTTTTCAGGGATAAGTAAAAATAGACTGAAAACAAACTAAGTTCAATAAAACCTGAAAGATGATGTAGATGATCTGTCACCACATGCTGGCTGCTGTGAACAGTATGTAAGTTAATACAGTTTTTAATGGTGTACAGGGTTTCCAAGTGCAAAACAGTCACAGTGCACAGAGGCACAGATGCACTGAGAGCCAGGACGGCATATTCTAATTAAATTACAAATCAAATGACCGTATCAGATTTAGAGGCCCTGTGATGACAACAGCCTTGGAGTTCTCCACATTTTGCAGTGTTATTCCCTGGAATTTAAATCCACCTTTGAGTTCTTCTTCACATCAACACAGTCAAATATAAAGAAATGCACAAGTTAACCTGCACCTGATGTTAACAGGGGGTCCCACAGCAAAGTGCACAAAGCTTAACATATATGTATTTGCTCATAATTTTAATTTCTGGACTATTTCGTGTCAGTCATTTGCATACAGCACTAATAAAATCAATTTTTACTTGTCGTTACCGCCCGACAAACAATGGAAAAGTTCAAGGCAGTGAATATTTATGTGTTATTAGTAGAGATCAGTCCAGTGGATTTGTTGTGGGCGTCCCAAAGAAAACTTCAGCACTAGTATTTTAAGATCTTAGTCCCTAATTCATCTCTCCATTGTAACAGGGCACAACGGTTGCCAAGGGGTTAGGCTGTCCTGCAGACACACTACATGTGTTAAAGATCACATTGATTCATAAAGTCTTTGATCAAGACATTCACTTCCTAATAGCTTTCAGGTGGAGCCTGAAGAGACTGTAGAGGCCACAGCAGCAAAAAAGCAAACAGGTGCCCTCTTGCACCCTTGTAACTCTGTCCAGGATACCCCTGGGAGAATCCCTCTGATTAGTAGGCCTACATGTTTTGGGGGGTAGGTCTACATTATGAGTGACAGCATGGTCATACAGTGCACATTTTTTTTATGATGATCTCTTTTTATGACAACTTCATTACCTGCATTAGTTTTCCCTCTGCGGAGCCGGCGCTTCCTCCCACGAACACCCCCTCCAGAGTGATAGGCTTCCCCGCCGGCTCTTGATTCAGCAGTGCCACCTTGATGACCGCTCGCAGGGCCGGACGTTCGGACTCCAGGCCCGGCTGGCCCAGCACCACCTGCAGGGCCGCCATGAGCAGCCACGGCCAGAGCCCGGCCAGGCGCCGCTGGGGGACGGTCATGGCCTCGGCTGTAGCGGCGGTGCCCGGCCGCACATGGTGGACTTCAAAGCAGGCAAGCACCGCGGAGAGACAGAACGGAGAAATATTTAAATAGGAGTCCCACTTCTTCCTTCAGCCTCGACGACTACTGCAAAACAGATAGCATCCAAAGTTTTAAAGCTGGAGGTTTGCCATCATAACTCATGCGTGAATGTCCTAAAATTTCCATTCAGCAGCAGAGTTAATATTCAAACTGGACACGGTATAGAAATGCACACACTCAGAGCCCACATGGAGCAAAGGAGCGTTTCCTTACACTAAACTGAGTCTTCCGGGATAAAATAAGCGTGAACTAACTTTTATCCAGTGTCATTAATGTGGGTGGCGAATCATTGTACACTCAAATGCACCGTGAAGACACGTTGTGTTGTGTTAGAGCCTGAAGAAGTGCGCATTGGTCTCAGGCAGCCTGGTCTTCATACGACAACACAACTAAAGTCCTCATTTGTGGAGTGGAACTGTTGTATCCTCTTTGAGACTGGCAGCTCCTGGAAACACAGTATCAATCTTTATCCGTACATCCGAACCAAACATTACAGTGTGCACCAGTCACTGTACATGGAAATCACATTGTGCGACCAAGCACGAGTTGATAAACACCTTCAGATGGAAGTACATCCCGTGGGCGCCACATTTTCTGGATAAATCCACACAAAAACACGCAGACAGGCCAAGGCTCGGACTTCAAAGGCTGGGGTGCAGGTTGCCGCCGGAAGGTTATAAGGCATGCTGGTAGAAAATGTGGTGCCAACGAGTTGGGTAATAATTTTACAACTGAAGGAGTTGCGAAAAATTACCTTGAAGAAGTAGTTAAATTGAGTTGTATCTAATTATTAACTGAAGGAACGGACGGTTGTCGTAATCCACTTACAACTTTGTATTCAAACGGCTTCTGAAACAGCTTATTCTGCAGCCGGTCTTCATCTGACGCCGCGGACTGTTAAAAGCACACACACTCTCTCACACACAGTCCCACACAGACACACACACTCACTGGGTTCAGTGCCTCCGTAGGTAGCACTATGAGAAATCAGACACGATCCTTCTGACCGAGGACGCCGAAGTTAAAAAAGAATCCTTTATGAAAATCACTGAAGCTCAAAGAGTCGCACGACTGTAGAAAAAGTACGCGGTCCAAACTTCTCGTGGTCTCCATGTAAAGTTGATAAAGTTGACAGACGCCGTCACCAAAGTCTACCTCCCGGACTATCTCTCGCTCCCCTGGGATCTCATTGACAGTCTACCTGCTCACTGTCCTGCTGCGTTCACGCGCCCTCGGAGATAGGAAGTTAATGCAAGTGATGCACAGGAACATGAATGTCTCTTACTGTAAGACAGGGAATGGATGGATTCATATCACACGACTTATTTTTACAAGTCAAAGTGGACAAACAAATGTAGCAACGCCACTGTTGATTTCAGTAATAATTATTATTAATGCATTATTCTGTTTAAATAAGTAACTATTAATAATACTGATTTATGTCAGGCATTGCTTTCCCAGAAGAAGTAAAAATATATATTGAAGAATTTAAAATCGTTTAATAAAAGATATAATGGGAATTTACGAGCTGCACTTGAAGGCCACATCGCCGCTGAAGGGCGGAGCAGCCGCAGACCAGCGATGCTCTTCAAAAACAAGTGAGTGGCTCCCTCTAGTGGAGAAAATCCAACAGGACCAGAATGAGCTCAGGTTAACCTGGGTGAAAACTTGAAATATGAAACACACATGAACAACTGTCAAGCTGCACTAAAGAAAATATATTTATTTTAATTGTAAAATAAGTATACACACGTGCCTTTAAAAACAGGAAGTTACAGGTTGTAAATAAATGCAGCACCAAAGTAAGGTGTTAAAACCACCAGCTGGTTATAATAACTACTAATACATACAATAATTACACATTCCCATTAATATGTTCAGTGTAGTCTCATTTAAAACTTGCTAAAAGTCAGACGTGCATGTTAAAAAGAAGAGAGACTGAGTTTATGCAGGCCTTTTCTTTTCTTTTGATAAAATATACTTTAGAAGACTTTAAAAACATCACACACACCTTTGATCAAAAATGTTTGGATAATAATGTTAAAAATGAGGATTCAAACCATTGCTTAAAAAGGTATTAAAATGTGCTGCTACAGATAACTCTTAATCTAAAAGAGATATGACTGATGGTATTTCACTAATAATAAGGAGAAGCACTTTACATAAATCGCACCAAAATGTACAAAGTATTTTCAAAATAAGATTAAAAATGGAACACTTAAACTGCTTCAAAAGTACAAATCCTTGAAGTGGAGAGTTAAAGTAAAACGTTTAGATCACGTCCTGGGCTGAAGGACGCCTCCCTCTCACATGCCAATCAAAAAAACAAGCTGAGATCTAAAACGAAAAATACATTCATCTATCAGTGATGGTGTTCCAGTGAGGATTGGTGAACATATTTTTCCTTTCTACTAGTTCTGTTGTGAATGTGCTGAATGTTCAGTGCAAAGTCTTACCTATAAAACTGTAGTACAGCTGCTGCTTTCAGCCTGCTGGGTGTCTCTGGCCGTGTCGCTATCCTCCACAAGTATAATGTTGTTTTCTGTTGTGTCGACATGGGTGAGCTTGTCGGGGCAAAGAAGAAAACACGGCTCATAATGTACAGGACCTCTAACAGCTACACATCCTCTAGAACTGACCAAATAAAATATAAAGATCTACATCATGGGAAACAGTTTCTATTAGAGGTGGGGAAAAATTGTTTTTTTGTAAAAATCGAGATTCTTATCTTCTGAGATTTTAAATAGATTCATAACTTCCAAAAATCGATTTTGGGCTAATTAGTCACTCCCTGCTAAGTGCTAAGGCTAGCTCCATAACTCAGCAGAATGCGAAATGGAGCAACAAGAAATTCAGCCAGTCTCACAGATGACTGGAGTAGATCCTGATGTATGTACCCATTCATAAATGAAAAAAAACTTTGAATCCATGGATCAATTAATCCATTATCATTTTAAATCAAAAATAGATTCTGAATCGAATAGTGACCCCAAGAATCGAAATCAAATCGAATCGTGAGATACACAAAGATTCCCAGCCCTAGTTTCTACAACTCCTTTTTCCGAAAAGGTTTTTTATTTAGAAATAAAAACAGGATGTGATGACTTCACGCTCTCAGTTTGAACACTAAGCACGGAGCAGAGAGAGAGGAGAGAGAGCGCATGCGAGGGAAGTCGGTGGTATTTCATTAAGGTTTTATGCTACGATGCAGTTTATTGGTTTATTTTGTATGTGTTAGTAAAAAAATTGAAATAAATATACCCTTACCTAGAAGAACTTGCATGGTTTTGTTGGTTTGCCCTCTTGTGAAATTTGAACGGCTCGAACTAATGTGTTACTTTATGAAAATTCCAAAGACCTTTTAGCCATTTTTGACAGCACTAATAGGTACCCTGTAGGGCTGTGTATTTCCCACAATCCAATACATATTACGATACAGAGGCCATGATATGATACATAACGTGATTTTTAATTTGGATCATGACCACGTCCTACACAGAATTCACTACAACAGCTGTTCTTTACCGTTGGAATAACAGCAGAGGCATATTAAGGATCCTACAAATTAAAACACCTTAATTCAGGTCCTCAGAGAGTCTAGAAATACATTTAAATATTATAATCCCAGAGCGGTGGCTTTGGTGTTAATGTGAACTGCACCACAGGTCAATCGTCTTTCCAAACTGTCAGCACAGCTCTGCAGCCGTATCCATTCTGTAACATCTGCATGGATACTTGTATTTACAAGGAGCACATGAAGATATATTGCCATATCGATTTTTTGAACACAGCTCTAGTACCCTGCACATTAGTGACGGTCCATTAATGCTGACCCATATATTCTGGGGTTGAAGCTGCTAATGAAACAACTTCTGCAGGGAGGGCTTTGTTTACTTCAGCAGGACAAAGCCAGATAAGTGACCGGAAGTCTGGCTCTTCCTAGTGATCCGGCTCACTTGGCTCCTCTCAGTAATCAGAGTCGTCTCTTTGGACTCCCAAACGCCTCTTCAATTGGTTTTATTTGAGCTGTATGTGTTTTAGTGAAATTAGTCATTGTAATGATACTAAACTGTACTATAATTTACATGTGTAATGTTATACCACCGAGCTCTAGGTGTTCCTGTGGCCTAGCGGTGTGGAGAAAAGATCGTCTCATTATTCTATCATGAATTAAATAACAACATAAAGAGGGGAAACACAGTTATAACAGCTCTCTAACAGGAACCAGCTCCCATCGATCTCATAACAGAGCCTGCTTGTTTGTGACCGACACATCACTAATGCTAAACCCCATCACATGATGACAGCATTGTCACGGATCGCAAAAACGAAGAGGAGGACCCAGATGCAGGATTCACTAAAACTATTTATTCTTTAAACAAAAGGCAAACAAAAACTTACTTCCAAAAATCCAACAAGAGAAGGAGCCACAGGTAAACTGACATGCAACTAACAACACCGACAAACACATACAACAACCAACACGAACGGTAAGAAACACAGAGACTAAATAGACATGGGGTAATCAGACACAGGTGAGACTAACGACACAGGTGAAGACAATCAGGGCAATCACAATGGAGGGAAACACACAGAGGAAGGAATGGACACAAGACAAGAAACACTGAGGACAACTACAAAATAAATACATGAAACACTGAAGACACACAGAACTCAACAATGAACAAAACACACTAGAACATACAGAAACACTAAACACTGAAAAACAAAACTAGAAAAGACCAAATCATGACAAGCATGGCTCCATAATAAAAGAGTCTCTGGGATTGATCCTGGTAACTGCTCTTACTGTAGTCCTGTATTGAGACGTAATAAAACATCTGTGATCCTAAACTGTTGCACAGCTGAAATCCTGCATAAAGCAAGAGATATAAAAAGTTTTCCATTTTCAAAATGACAGAAACAGGCTTTCCTTAGTTCCTAAATCGCCAACAAATTCTTAAAGGTCACATATCCTCCTCCTCTTCAACCAGTTTAAATAAGTCTCAGAGCTCCCAAAAACATGTATGTGAAGTTTCTTGTTCTAAATCCACTCTGATCCTGTATTTGATCATGTCTATAAATCCCTCTATTTCAGCCCTGCTCAGAACAGGCTGTTTCTGTGTCTGTACCTTTAAATATGTAAATGAGCTGTGTCTGACCACAAAATAATAAACAAGCTGGTTAGGCTTTGTCTAATACAATCAGGATGAACTCTGACAGGCTGACACGATGGGAAAACTGTTAAGGCCCAGACACACCGAGGAGATCGTCGGCTGTCGGTCCTAGTTGGACCAACGGTGAGCGATCGTCACCCTGGTTTTTGCAGTGTGTCCCGTTCTGTTGCTACCCGTCGGCTGATTCAACATGTGGGATCAGCGTCGGTCAGCATCGGCGCGGTTGGTGAGATGAATCTCTCTGATTGGCTGTTCAGGGGTTATATGTTAACTCAAGCTCTCGACACAGGTCCCCTTGAGCATGCCGCTGTAGTATCCATGCTTTCACTTATTAGTGCAGTTCCTCCTTATTTGTCGCCTCTTCTTTTCTTTTTCCACTAAAAGACCGAGGACTGACAACGCCAGCGCCATTTTCAACTTTTTATCAGACATTATTCTCGATATGTAGGCTACCTATAATACGAGTGGTGACCGACAGTGGTGTGAAAATGGTCTTCTCGTATCATAACAACGGACTACTGCCCCCTGCTGGCATGGAGAGTTATTTCCCCTCACACTGTAGTTTTTGCGGTGTGTTCAAGTGCAACTTTTTGGCCAAGACAAAAGGCGTTATGAGGTGACGGGAGATGACTTTCTCAACTTTCCACTAGTTTTTTACCATCTGCCTGGTGTGTTACGCCTTAAGCTTTCATTCAGTCACCTGGAGCTCTGGCTTTAAGCACAGCATCCACCCAGTAGAGAGAACCCACACACAGACACACACACACACACACACACACACACACACACACACACACACACACACACATTTACATGGGGTTGTGTTTGCACACTGCTGGATAGACCACACCCTTTCTTCCTTTGCACTTTTGTTCCTTTTAGAAAAGACCAACCTCTTTACATGTGAAACTCTAAAATGTAAAGTCTTACCTCAGATATGACATCTTCAGGCAGTTGCTCAGGTATTGAAACCACAGATTCCTCCTGCGGTTTGAATTTGACCAGACTAGCGTTGCCTGAGACGGACATTATGATGGGTTCAACAGGCAGAGCTTTCATGGCGCTGGTGTTAAAGGTGCCAGGAGGCGGTGCAATCACAGGGACCGACTTCTCTGGGGTCTTAACTTTAACGAGGCATCGATTGGGCAGAGGTTTCATCACCTCATCTGCTATCTGGAAAATTGTGTCCAAATTAATGTCGTACTTTTTTGTCTCCTGGCTGTCCTTGCTCTGTGGTTCCTGGTTGTTGTCCCCAGTGCAGATCATATTGACAGGGTAGCTGGCCTAAGAGCAGTGAATCAACAAACCCATACGTTAAGACATATTATCCATGTAACACAAGAAGAGTCATCATTCAGGAGCAATCAGTCACCCACCTGAAAATAATTGTAGGGAGGGAATGACCCTGTCTGAAGCCCACTACAGGCCATCTGTGATGCTCTGAGGTTCAAGCTGTAACACTGGCAGACTTTAAATAGGACAAAAGAAAATAAGTGCTTCTAACTCACGTTATATTTCAGTACGGTGATGCAACAAGTTGGATCTATAACTGGTCCAACAGGCTACCTGATGTAATGCTCACCTGGGGAATAGTAGCCAGACTGATATTGTACACTTTGATGGTTGGCACGGGCCAGTAAACCCTGCTGAACGTGCATAGCACTGGAGCTCGGGGCTACACCTGCATAGTGGTGACTTACAGAAACCTGTAACCCTTTGTCTGCAGTGAATACAGAAGGAGAATGAGCTGCACCATGACCCCTTATCAGGAATCTTGGTGGGACTGGAGTTCCATTGTGAGCTGTCCCAGGCTGGGCTGGTTGTGGATGGTAAGGATGTGCTAACTCCTGATGGGTGGGGCTGTGCAGTGAAGACTTTTCTGCACAGACAGACAAAAGGAGAGCTTATTAATAACCTGTTAGACAGTGATTGATACAGAGGCTGTGAGGCTGCAATCACACGCGACTCACTACATAGAGAATACACCGCTTTGTAATGCTGTCTGAGTGAGCAAGACCATAACCTAGAGTGCTACTCAATCTTTCAGTAGGCAGTAGACAGTACCTACTATCCATGCTGTATACTGTTCAGTGTTTCCCCTAGGTTTACAGCGTGGAGGGGGGGGGAGACATGCAAACAGGCCGACATGCCGACACACTGACACAAACACTGGAAGGAATCTTGGTGTTCATGTGTTACTTTTAATGACAGCTGTCCTTTTCTATCAGAAAGGTATCCTTTAATGACTTCTTTCTCTGATTTCTGACTCTATCGACTGTTCTATGTCTACAATAAAGGCACAAAAAGCCCAAAAATAAATCTTTAAAAAAAGAAAAGAAAAAAGGTTTTATAATAATGCAGACATTTGTTATATTTTCTGTTGTTAATTAAAAGTAGTGATTTCAGTCGAGACTTTAACTCTAGATTAAAAATTGATTCAATTAATCCACGCTCGTTTGTTTTGATTTGGAGGCGCACGCAAAATGACGTTTAATTTCGCACAGCATTGTGGGAGTTAAAATACAATTAATTTCCTGAAAGGATGCATCCGATTCATACTGCATAAACTGCCCGGAAGTTAGTATCCATGCTGAAATGTTCAGTATACTGAGGTGGACCCAAAAAACATCTACTGAATGACCACGAAAGTTCATTATACTGAAAAGTATGCACTGCCTACTGAACTGTGGCTATTCGGAAAGGTCCCTATATAGTGCGATCAATGTATCCCACAAAACATTGTGAGAAGTAGTGAACAACCAATGGTCAGTATCCAAGCAATATATACCATCATGCATTGCGGTTCTAATATTTTTTGAGGCAGAAAGTGTCGTTTGACTCGACTGCTCTTAGACGGAAGAGAGGAGCGACGGCGTGAACAGACGTGTTCTTATTCAGAGACATTTTTACTGACATCTAGAAGCTGTTTCAATTAAGAGACAAACGCCCTCTTCAGACCGCTGTTTCAAGCTGTGATATTTACACCCTTGTGCAATTCACCTTCAATCTGAATGTTGCGGAGGCGTAACGGGGGGGGGGGGGGGACACAGTGACCCCCCCCCCTGTGTACCGTCTTCAGAGGCAGAAATAGAGGAGAGGAAGATTCTAAACAGAGTAAATGTTAGTGTTTCCTAACGATGATGATGACAGGCATGAGACCAGAGTGTGTAAGCACAAATACTGTAATTTAGTTTGGTGTGAAAATAGAATGAGTGCACTGCATAGTCAGCTACAGAGAACTCCTTATACAATGGGTAGAGAGAAGGGAACGAGGGAGTTATTTCAGACACACACAGTTAAATTAAACGTACTGGAAGTATAAATATTCTTGCACTCGATTAACACTGCTGTGACTATCTAATCATTTTCACAATCTTCTTCAGAATATTCAGTAAAACTTGCCTCTTATCACATTTTTCTCTCCAGCATCATCACCCCGACTGAATCTTGTAAATTTACTGGGGGGCCGACAGCTGACGTCCTGACCGGCCTCTATCTTGGCCTTGTTGTCTGCAGTTAATCTTCTCAGACTCGAGACCAGTTCAGGATGGTCACGCTTGAAGATGGGGTTGTAAAAATGCTGAGCCTTTGCGCTCTCCCCGGGCGAGTAATTGTGGTCTTTATTGGATGTGTCGGTTTTCCTGAAGCCATACAGGTTGAGCTGACGGACAAAGCTTGAGAAGTTGGTGGTTTTGAAGGCATCGGCGTTGTATGAGGGGATGGTGCTGGGAGACAGGATCTGTTTCTCAAAGAGACCTTTGTCTATGAGGATGCCCTCGCCGTGGCTGTCCCACCGGATGGAACTGTTTTCAGGGTTGTTCACCAAACGCCACAGTTTGGCAGGGAAGTTGTTCGGGTTGATGCTGTGCGGTAGTGACCATTCACCAACATCCATGCTTTTCTTATTCTAGGATTTGACACAGAAGCAGCAGATGTTAAAGTTCATCTGAATATCAGTCCATAATTAAACTGTTTCAAAGCCTTTTGACACTAAGACCACTCAGGCAGCGACAGCATTCATGCTGAATTTAATATCTTCATTTAAATAAAACTCAATGTGTGCATATTTGACTAAAATTGTTCTTCTCTAAATTGAACATCCTTTGATTATTGTAGACTGGATGTCTATCACAAACATTATTTTAGAGATTCACAAATTTCACTTTAAAATCGCCTCATATTTGTGTATCAACTTATTAATTAGATGTTTTTTATGCTACTACTAATCTAAAAACAGGTTTAAATTTAAACTATGGAGAAAATGACCTGCTCTTACATAAGTTTGCTTTCTTAACGCTTTATAATGACCACAGAAACGTCAAGAAGTTAAACATTAAGTCAAGTTAAGGAAACTTTATGTAAGTTGTAATTTGTTAGCTGTTAACTGCTCAGGTTATTAGCATTAGCCGCTAGCTCACTCCAAGTTAACTCATCAATAAGCTGATTATATGTTTCAGGCTGAGCTTGTTGAAGTCTTCAAACACTTGTTTGTAAATGTGCTCATGTTGTGAGTGAATGAAACAGAGTGAGGTGATGTTACCTGGCTCTCAGGTGACCCGCTGGTTCTCCTCACAGCCGTTGGCTGGTTGTCCTCGACCGTTAGAGCCGTTGATAAAAAACGGCTCTTCACCAACTGGAGTTTATAATTATAAACATTATATTTCAGAAAGTTTTATTAATGTCAAATATATGATGGGAATGTTTGTTATTTTATCACGGAAGAGGGTTAGGGCCACTTATTTCTTTCATCATGCACTTAGGGAAAAAAAAGTAAAAAATATGGAAAAATGAAGAATAAAGTTGAAAATAAAGTCAGAAACGTCAGGGGGAAAAAAGAAAGAAGTTGATATGCTGGTAAAAATATCAAGAAAAAATTGAAATGATGAGGGTGAAAGTGTGACTCTCCTGGTAGCTTTTTAGCTCTAAACCAAAGTGTGGCCCGAGGGCCATTTGCGGCCCTTGAGGGGATTTTTTGCGGCCCGTGACTTCAAATGAAGAATCAGAAGATTTTGGCCCAAGGCCTTGATTAAGATTGGCACATTAACTTATTTTTCTTTTTAATGTTAACAAGGGTTGAACAATATTCCTAAAATAGAAAATGTACAGTAACATGTATGTTGTTGTTTTTATTTTTAAATCTACACCTTTTATTATTTTCCACATTTTTTTGTAAACTATGAAAAAAAACGTATGCAAAGTTTTTGCAAACAAGCGAACTGTTGTTTAACCATTTAATGACCTGAGCTAAATGCAGAAAGCTTTTCCAAAAAGATCTACAAAGTCGTACTATTTTTCAACTATATTTTAAAAAACAAAACCTGAGGCCCGCGAGCGATTCTAACACGACAATTTTGGCCCTCAAGAAAAAAAGTTTGGACACCACTGCTCTAAACAGTATCCAGGGACCCATTTTTTTAAGTAAAGTTTGTGTATTTAGTTAAGAAAATATAGCATAGAATTGTTTCATTTCTCCAACTTTCAAATTGCATAAAAAATATAGCCTACATAGTGAAACTTTAAAAACCATGTCTTGGGGGCAAAAGATATATATTTTTACTTTTCAGGACTTCAGGGGCTCCGTATAAGAGAATAAAATTTAAACAATTTTGAGAATATAGTCTAAATTACTCAAAATTGTATTTCAATTTATTTCTCAACATTTCGATTTTTTTCTCAAAGTGTATAATGGAGGAAAAAAAGTATTTCTCATGCCTGGCTCTAATCCCCTTCTGTAGAGGATGAAAAATCTTGGAGGCACAAAATCATTAGCTCGTGTGCATACACTAGACCAATGGTTCCCAAAGTGGGGGTCGGGACCCAGAGGTGGGTCGCCAGCCACCGAGAGGGGGGTCGCGAGATGCCTTCCATAAAAAATGTAAAATCATTTAAAAGTGCGTAAGGATATCCTTTTACCATTTTTGTAAATATACAAAAAGTAGCCAATGTCATATAAGACAGTATCATTAAGTGAAATGGAAATGAAAATTTTCATTCTTTTAGGATGTGGTAGTATTTTGTGTTCCTAGTTTTTGGATAGGTTTATTAGTGTGTGCGTGGCTGTCGCTATGTTATATACCTAACTAACCACCTTAAAGAACAGTGGGGGGTCCCCAGTTTCTGTCACCCTCTGTTTGGGGGTCACGACCTGAAAAGTTTGGGAACCCTCAAACTGAGCGAATAATGTTGTGTGCACAACATAACAATCTTGTGCGGACAACATTGCGGAGGTTTTGTTGTCCCTTTTACTTTTTGGGATTTCATTGACCCTGTAATATTAATTAATATTTACAGTCTATGCTTTGTTCATAGTCTCTGTACAAATTTAAGGTGAGTTGTATTTTGGTGTGGTTGCCCTGGGAGATTATGTTAAGAGTAGATTTATGATATGAATAACTATCACAGTTTATTGTATACGTACGTCTGAACAATAAATTGACAGTTTGTGACTATACAGAGAGAGTACCTAAAATATCCTCTTTGTAATTAAAATATTTATTTTATATGATTGAGGATTTTCACACAGGCGCACAAAGTGGACGCCTTTTTGCGGACCTCAGTGGGGTCCTCTCAGCCAGTGACGTAATTCCCCAGCGCCTCGGTAACTCTTCAAAACAGTAATCCGTTGTGATATTTTCGTATTTCTGACATAGTTTCTCTCAGAGATTATCAGAATGGCTTTGGAAACGGTCCCTAAAGACCTCCGCCATCTGCGAGCGTGTCTCCTGTGCTCGTTAGTGAAGGTAAGCCGCCAATTCAGAGAAACTACAGCTCCAGTTAGCTTCTGTGCTAACGTTTAGCCTGTTTGTTCTGTTGTGTATCAAACTTGAACTAACATTTAAATTTAAGGTTTAAATAATGATTCATATTTACTGAATGACGTGTTGTCTAAAGAGCCACATTTTGAATCTTGAAAATAACCTTATACACATGTATGATGATGTTTATACTAAGGTGTATTATAGCAGATCATAATTATTAACATGTTCTTTATTAGGACACTTAGTTTACATTATATATGTTTCTTATGTTATATTGTATTTTTTTAGTTTTTATAAAGTATATTAAGATGATCATTGTGACTCAGGTGAGACTCCACCTGCTATAAGTGGATCAAGACTATTCTTCTTTATTGAGAAGGTATTTAACCATTGTTCACTCTTTCATTGTGCTGTATTCATATAACCAACAACTCTGTGTGTGTTTGTGTTTCTTTAGACCATCGACCAGTTTGAATACGACGGCTGTGATAACTGTGAGTCTTACCTCCAGATGAAGGGCAACAGAGAGATGGTTTATGAATGCACGAGCTCCTCGTTTGATGGGTAAAAGTTGATTTCACTTTGATTGTTCACAACCTTCTATTTACAATTTCACATGAACTCATCTGATTGTTTTTTTTATTAAGCTTACCTCTACTGTGTGTTTGTCCACAGGGTGGTGGCCATGATGAGTCCTGAGGACAGCTGGGTCGCTAAATGGCAGAGGATAGGTAAGGATGTCTGAACAGAGAAAGCTCATTACCAGCTATAATACTGCCTCTGTTGCACCTCGTGTCCAAACTGCTGAAATGTTAGTTTGTGTATTTAAAACTGTTGAGTCAGTTTTTGTGTGTCTGCGGGCATGGCATGAAACGTGCAGCTCGTGTCTGTTAATCTGAGATCAGCACAATCCTAAATATTAGACAGGACCGGGTGGTTAACCATCACCCTTCACCAGCCAGTTGATCAGTGAACCTGTAGTTTAAGTCTAAGCTCAAGGCGGTTGAGAACATGTCAGACTGGCTCTTGTTCAAACTGTGTTGTTTCAATCTTTTCATTAGAATTATTCTGTGATGTTTGAATGTTTGCTCCATCCAACAGGAAACTTCAAACCAGGTGTTTATGCCGTGTCAGTGACGGGCAGACTACCTCCAGGTACTCCATGTTTAACTGCCATGATTCTTTACGATGCATTACAATGTTGTTGTTTTTTTAAATCCCAGATTCTTCTGTATAGGAGCATTGCATGCTGTTTAAACTGTTTTCTGCTCTCCTACAGGTGTGGTGAGGGAGCTGAAAAGCAGAGGAGTGATCTATAAATCCAGAGATACCGCAGTGAAGTCGTAAACCTTTAATACCGCTGCCAACAGCGGGACTACTTTAAACGATGTCTGTGATGTCTTCTGGATTTTTTTCAACTGTTTAATTTGTTGTTTTAAGTTGTGATTACACATGTAGGTTTGTTTTTTTCATTTGGAGGAAGAAGTTTTTATTTCTGTGAATCTTTGAGAAAATAAAATTCTGTTTTGTAAGACGTACGTGTGGTTCTCATCGATCTCTGCAAACACGGGGAGGTCTGCTGATGTATGAACAACCACTGCACTGTGTGTCGAATAATAGTGTTGTAGACAAGACCACACAAACCGAGAGCAAGACATACCAGAGACCAGAGTGCTCAGAGACCGAGACAAGACCAAGACATTCAGGGATGGAGACCGAGTCAAGACCAAGACCATAACTATCTCTGAAAAATCATCATCTTGTGGTTAGGGGGCGTGTCACTCTCTTAGACCGTAACACCTGGAAGGTTGCGGCCGTCACCGAGGAATAAAAATCAAACTACATATGAATTTAAGTTATTTGTTCTCTTAGAAAGAGGTGTTTTCTATCTAATCACAGTGATGACTTGGAAAAATAGCCAATCAGTGGTGGTCTTGATTTAAAATCCGGGGTCCGCTCAGTCTGAGAGCGACTAAAACCGAGTAAAAATGATTTAGATTCCGAGACCTTGAAAACGTGGTCTCAGGACAAGTCTTGAGACCAAGACTGACTTCAAGTACTACAACACGACCAAATAATCAGCGAGTGAGCCCAGGGGGCGTGTCCAGATTATTTTGACTAGGGTGGCCTGAAGCCTGATGTACACACACAAACACAAATAAACATGAATTATTTACCCTTTCTAACCTCACCAATCATTTCTAATTTATATCCCAAGATAATGGCAACATGAGCTTAAAGTTTAAATGACACAAACAGAAGATGTTCAAAGTTATAATTTAAAGTACTTTAACTCCTGTACAGTGTAACTTACAATGTTCTGGTCCAGACATGTTGCCAGTTAGTTTATCACAAGAAAGACAGGAGTGCATGACTTTCCCATGAACCTGTCTTGTGAAATAGATGTGCACATTTTAAATTAACAATTTAAAGTACAAACAAAAGAAATATGCAATATTGAAATGTATAGAAAACTACTCGCAGCCTTTGCCAGTTGGTTTTAAAATAAGTTAAACAGGGCAAATAGACAATCACAGTTTAACCTATGGACTGAGAACAAACTGGACACGCAGTACCACTTATTGCCAGTAGAAGGCAGCATATCCCAACTACTGGTGATGTGAAAATAGTGGCATTATCTTCTTACTGTAAGTCAGACAAGAATCCCCCCCCTCCAGCAGATAATATTTATTTCCTGCTTTCTGTGTCTGCTCAGTGTCTGTGTTTCTGTGTATGTGGGTCATCCTGAGCTGCTGCTCGTATCACTTCATGTCCACCTGCAGCTCTGCTTTGTTAGCTTGAACTACTTTTAAGGTACACAAAGTGTTTGTTTGTAGCCAGAGGCGTTCAGTGTTCTGTAGTTTCACAGTTACCTGATGGATCGAGGTCTCAAGTGAGCCTGGTCAGATCTCGCTCTCCATTATCAGATGAAGGTTTCGCAGCTCGAGGGAGCACGAGAGCAGCTTCATGAAACATCTCTCGTGGTTTGTTGGAGTGAAGCAGGTGGCTTCACTTCAGGATGCTGCAGGTCACAACAACAGGCCGAGTGCACATTGTACACGACACACTCTCTGTAAAATACTGAAGAGAATCATAACCATCCAAAGACAGAAGGAGCAAAGAAACATGTCAGTGGAGAGGATTTAAAGGGCTTCTTAATGAAGGATTCACATCAAAGAGGTCATGGTTAGAAAACAACAGGAGGAAGATTTCACTCCCATCAGGTCGGCGCTTCAGACTCTCAGGAGTCACAAGAAATGATTAGTGTCATGTCCGGCTCTGCATCTTAACTTATGACTTCATTTTTCCCTCGTTTTTTTTTTTATGTTTTATTTTTGTGTCACTTATTCTCCTCTCATTTCAGATCCTTCACTTCCCGCCCTCGTGTTTCCCGCCCTGATTGTCTCCCCCTCACCTTAGTATTGAGTCTGTGTCTCCCTCCCTTCTGTGCCAGTTTGTCTTCGTCCTTTGAGTCAAGTGTACCAGCACTTTCTCCTTGTGGGTCCCTTCCCTCATTTTTGGATTTTGTCTGCTCATCTGGCTCATCATTTTTTTTACTAGTAGACTGTGTGTCATGTGAGTTTTATCTTCAGTGGGTTTTTGGTCGTTAGTTAGGAAAAAAAAACATTTGTCCCCCGTGCAATACAATTATTACATTCATCAAGTTAAAAAAAACAAAAACCACAGCCCCCCATGCCCTAGTGTTGTAGTCGAGACCACACTAACTGAGACCAAGATGTACCCGAGACCAGAGTGCTCCAAGACCGAGACAGGACCAAGACGTTCAGGGATCGAGACTGATTTAAGACAAAGACAATAAATATCTCTGAAAAATCATCATCTTGTGGTTAGGGGGCGTGCCACTCACTTAGACCCGGGAAGGTAGCGGCTGTAACCGGGAGATAAAAAATCTAATTATGAACGAAGAATGAAGAGGAGTTTTCCTTCTAATCACAGTAATGATGTGGAAAAATAACAGATCAGTGGTGGTCTTGATTTAAAATCCAGAGTAGGCCTACAGCCAGTCTGAGACCGAGTAAAAAGGTTTTCTATTCTGAGACGAGACCTTCAAAAAGTGTTCTCTAGACCGAGGCCGAATCCGAGTACCACAACAATACCCTGCAGCCCCAGAATATAACTGCCCAGCGTCTTCGAGGTCTGACACCTTCACCTGCACAGAAATGACACAAACCATGAGCTCAGCAGAATCTCTGGATGGTTCCAGGAAGCATGTTAAACTCAGCTGTTCAGACGAGCCTTCATGTAACTCTTGAACCCTGCACTGTGTCTGACCCTAACTCTGACCTGCTGAACCTGTGATTTATTTATGAACATTTCCTCTCCTTATGAATCTGTTTGATTCTCTTATTGGTGAAGCACTTTGTAACTGAGTGTGCTATATCAGTAAAGTTTGGCTAAACCGTGTGAACAGATCGCTGAGGCTCAGTCACTGTAATATGCAGAGACCATATTAACCAGTAACCAGCTCTGATTCATGGAAACTTAGACCAAGATGGAGGAGAGGCGAACGCCAGTGTCCTCTCACGTCCGGGATGTCGGCGCAAAAACATTGAAGCTGAACAGGAAGTTTAGGACACCGAGTGTATGACTGTGAATGTGACTTTTATTTGCTTTTTGTTTTATTTGCTTCAGTCGTCCATCTTGATGTGGTGATCCTGCACACTAAGTTTTCATTTATTCAACATTTTTTGTCCATGAGACGAATCCAAGGCGAAGGAATCACATCAAAGAGGTCATGGTTAGAAAACAACAGGAGGAAGATTTCATTCCCATCAGGTCGTCGCTTCAGACTCTCAGGAGTCACAAGAAATGATTAGTGTCATGTCCGGCTCTGCATCTTAACTTATGACTTCATTTTTCCCTCGTTTTTTTTTTTAATGTTTTATTTTTGTGTCACTTATTCTCCTCTCATTTCAGATCCTTCACTTCCCGCCCTCGTGTTTCCCGCCCTGATCGTCTCCCCCTCACCTTAGTATTGAGTCTGTGTCTCCCTCCCTTCTGTGCCAGTTTGTCTTCGTCCTTTGAGTCAAGTGTACCAGCACTTTCTCCTTGTTTGTCCCTTCCCTCATTTTTGGATTTTGTCTGCTCATCTGGCTCATCATTTTTTTTTACTAGTAGACTGTGTGTCATGTGAGTTTTATCTTCAGCGGGTTTTTGGTTGTTAGTTAGGAAAAAAAAACATTTGTCCCCTGTGGAAAACCTTCACACGGTGGAGTCCGAACAATAAAACATGGCAGGCTATCAACATCTTTGTGCACGTGCAGCTTTAACAAGTTCCTTCTACTGAAATAAACACGACGATTCCCGTGTCTGTCTGTAAAATAAAGAAGGGGCTCCTCTTTATTTGACATATGAAATGCTTCTCGTATCCTCCCCTAACAGGTTTCACTGAACTGTTATTCAAATGAATAAAACGTCTGGTTCTTTCCGCTGCAGGCAGATCAAACACTTGTGATCTGACTGTGTGGCAGTCTGCAACAGTTTATAATCAAATGAGGGATAAACCACAGGTGTCTGTTAGCACGCCTCCATGTGGGTTTGTAGCTCAGTGCTCAGGTGAAGGGGAGAATAATGGCGGTCACTTTTATTCCCTTTGTGCTGTGAAAACAAAAAACAAATGATTTCACAGTAAAATGTTTTTAGAGCTTTATTTCTCTCTGACTTCTTCCCTCTTGTGACGTCATGGCAGGCGAGGTTATTTCACAAGCGCCGCAAACTAAAAACAAAACCGAGAGAGAGAGAGAGAGAGAGCTCTGCTGCTCGCTGCTGCAAGGCGTCCACGACCACAGGAAGCTCCGCCCACACGCTCCTCTCTGTGCACTTCAAACGGTGGAGGAGCAGCAGCATCCGAGCAAAGAGAAGTGAAGCACGCCCTTCAGTTTCACACACACAGCCTGTCTGTCTGCCTGCAGGCCTCATTGGTGCACTGTGACTTTTGCCCTTATTTGGAAATGTCAAGACTTCAAATTGAAGGGAAAGTTCAGATCAGGAGACAAGGTGTCACCTCAGCGTTTGGCTGTTTGTTGTTGCTGTTGTTCAAACAGGGAAAACAAAGATGAATGCACTCTGCTAAAAGGAACACTTTGTGACGGGGATGGAGACATGGAGAAAGGGAAGTAAAGGGGATGGACGGCCAAGTGTGCGCGTGAGTGTGCGTGAGTGTGTGTGTGTGTGTGCGTGGCATGACGCTGACACACTTCCTCTCTCTTTAAGAGCAGGAGGCCGCTACAGAAGCGAGAGCAGCTCGGCACACTGAAGGATTTCATTTCCTTTTTACAAAGATCTGCTTCACGCTGTTTCCATGTAAAGACGTAAACAGGATAAAACAGAGGAGCAGTCAGACACAAACTACAGAAATGTTGATCTGCAGTGGTTAGTGCTGTTGCCTCACAGCGAGAAGATTTTGGGTTCGAATCCCTTTTGGATTTGTTATGCAAGTTTATAATCTGAGGTATCGATGAGTGTCAGATAAATGATGTAAAGGAAGATCATTCAAGAAGTAAAAGAACCTCAAAGTGTAAGACCATGGTCCTGGTAAATCTGCTTTCTGCAGGTCTCTGTGGATCCAGCAGGTCTGGGAAGGGGGGTGCTGGAGGGGGGTTAAGCGGTGTCGTCACCCGGGGGACGATCGAGGCCCAGGAGGAGCTCACTGAGCAGGCAGGGAGGGGAAGAGGCTGCCGGCTGAGATAAGGTCTATCACAGGAGGCAGCGCGGGGACCAGAAGGCCCCCCCCCCACACACACACACACACACACACACACACACACACACACACACACACACACACACACACACACACACACACACACACACACACACACACACACACACACACACACACACACACACACACACACACACACACACACACACACACACAGGAGGTTGAAGAGAGCAGGGATTAGAGGCAGGGCAGGGGTCAGGGGTCAGGAGATTGAAGGGTTAAAGGTTAAAAAATGAGTGGCTTTTAGAGACACCAAATGTTTAATATTCTCAACAAGACTCAATGCTGACACTTTTTATTTCATCACGACGGACCCTCACCTCATCAAAGAATAAACAGATCACTACCCAGAATCCTCTGCATGAGGTCGGTGTGTTTATCTGGTGCACGTCTGACGTCACCATCCCCGTCGTTTATGAATCAAAGCGCGTCATCTCCTCTCTGATTCCTCTGATTCAGAGCTATGGATGTTCGCTCTGCTCGTCCTCAGCCGTTCACCCACATCAAATCCCCACAGGGGAGCCCACGTCACGGGGATCAAGTCATTCAGGACCAATGTCAGACTACTTAAAAATGTTGTGGTCCCGTAACAGGGTTACAGAGTGCGTTACTTTCAGTTACAGAGTTACAGTCACAGAGTGCAGTTACTTTCCTCTGCACCTGTCGGATGTGCAAAGTATTTAGTAACAGTTTAATATAAAACAATAATAAGTAACTAAAAGCAGCCTTTACAAAAACCGGAAGGTCGGAGGTTTAATCTCCAGCTCCTGCAGCTACATGTCTGATGTGTCCTGGGGGGGGTCTCGGTCTTGTCTTGGTCTCGGTGCACTCTGGTCACGGGTACAAGTGTTAAAGGGAAGGAAAGGTTTCTGTGATTTCAAAGTTTTAAGAACATGATACTCTTTTTGTAACTTCAGTAGGTTTTTACCTGCAGGATTCTTTCCTGTAAAACATCATGTAGCTGCATAAATTCAAGTTACTACTACATACTGGACTCTTAACATGTTTGTGTCACCTCAGTGCAGGGACACAGGCTCATCAGGACAGACTCCTCAGGGCTGTGGAGGGCAGAGGCACAGAGCGGAGCTTTTTCACCATACTACTACTCAAAGTTTTCTTCTTCTGCGTGCTCAGACTGCAGCTTCTTCTTCACTGGAAGAGATTATGAGACTGTGATGTAATGAGGGAGAGAAATAAACATGAGTGGATCCACTTCAGGACTTTAGAAGTCTCCCATTCTGGTCTAGATAATAACCATCACTGCGGCCTTCTAGAGAGGATTTTAAGACGTGTTTTCTCATCCCTAAAGGTCGCCAGGGGAACTCTGATTCATCACCCTGACCGCTGTAGTGACCTGCAGGTCGGATTATGAGAACTCACACGGCTGCCGACGGACAGGAAGGAAGTGAAACTGCGGCCTTTTACTTTTTATAAATAAATAAATCTTCAGAATCAAAACGGTATTTGGAAAAAGTTCAATCAGGAATCTGTGTTGTGCCTTTATTTTAGAGACAGGAGAGTGGAGAGAGTCAGAAAAAAGGGAGAGAGAGAGGGGGGGGATTGAACGAGGAGGTTTGAACGAGGAGACGCTGGTTCAGAGTCACCCTACTCTGTACCTTAACCAGAAATATATCATATGGATAGAGATGCACCGATCCACTTTTTTTCAGTTCCGATCTGATTCTGATACATATGTAGTGACACTGATATTTTTATTATCATGACTAATCGTGTAGGTGTTGTTTGTGGTTTCATGTGTGAGGCTACACAAAACTGTTTTAAACTGAAGAGTAAGAGTGTCTTCTTTTGATGTTACAGAAGGAGCTGTTTCATCTCGTCTGAGTGTCGTTATGGAGACGACTTCTTACAGTTCAATCTGAACGTCTTCGAAGTGAGACTGTGCGAGTTGAGGTTTAAGGTTTTAAGTGCCCGACCATATTTCTTGATCCGATACGTAAAAGACTTCAACATCGGACTTGATACCGACATTAGATCGAATCGGTCCCATCTTAAAATAGGGATGCGCAGATGCATCGGTTAAACATGTATCGGACATGTAACAGACATCAGCTCGACCCTTTAACACTTCACCTTGACTCTTGTCACCTACAATCAGACTTCTCCTCTTTGACACTTTCTATTAGGGATGCTCCTGTTCAACATTGGTATCGTCTCTGTTGACAGACAGATGTTTATCAGTTATGCCAAATCAGTTTAATGCTGACATCTAGAACACCTGACTGCTGATTGAGATAGGACGTGTTTTATCAGGCTGATGAAGTCACCTGTCGAACAAACTCGGACTGGTTTTTATCGTCAAGAAGTGGGAGAAAATGTTGCATTGTGGGAGTCTGACACCAAAAAGAAGTCATGACACAAACATCGGTATCGGCCCTGATATTCCCTGTCGGTGCGTCTCTAATCTGCATTTATATATTTTGCACGTGAGGCACGACACGGCTCGTCCTTCAGCTTCTGTTATCTTCACATTGTGCGACTCCGCTTCATTGAATGGTGAATAAACATGAGAGGTTTTTTTTAATCTTCCTGCAAAGGAGAGTCAGATAATCAGAGAAACGATCACACCACAGGATCACCACATCCCCGTCCTGCTCAGGGTGGATCTAAACTTATTTATCAAACCAGGCTGGTCACATTGAGATCCAGAACCTGGTTTTAAAGGGAGGCATGGCCGAGACAGTCAGCAGCACACACACAGAGTTACACACAGAGACACAAAGTCAAAATCTTCTCTGAGAGTCAGAGAGACGTTCAAGCTGTCCAGTTTAAAGCATCGCTATCCTGCACAATCTGCTTCCAGGTCATTTAATTTAGATTTTAAAACATTTAAGGACTCCGGCTCCTTGAGCTTTAAGTTGCTCTGCAACAGATTCCAGGCTGAGGCCGCAGAATACCCAGAAGCCCTTTCTCCAGTTAGTGTGCGAGCGTTAATAACTCATGTTCTCTAGTTCACAGAAAGTGTTTTCATCTCTCTCCTTTTTATCACCAAACTGAGAGCGAATTATTCATGACCTCACCCCGCGCAGCAAAGTGTCATTTAAGGTTAAAAAAAAGGAGCCAGTTTGTTTAAAGAGTCTAAGTAGACAAACTCGAGCATTAGAAGATGGTCAGAATGTTCACATGTAAGAGCGTTTTGTGTTACCCTGATATTTTGTGTCATAACGAAGCTGTGTGCGGTTTGTAAAAGTTGCTGTTGCTGTCAGCGTTTAAAAAAAAAAAAAAAAGAAGCTTGAGCAGGAGGTGAAGCCGGAAGCCGAGAAGAGAAGCGGCTGTGACTGTTAGAGCGTTTCCTGTGGTTACGTCACGTGGCCGTGGAGGCCTTCAAAAGGAGACGACTTCTTCTTCTTCAGCCGCTCAGAGGACGCACAGAAGACACCTGCCAGGCTGCCGGGTGGACGCCGCTGACGAGGAGAGACACAGAGCGCTGACGTTTGGGTGAAGTATCACGGCTGACATCCAGTGGGTTTTATGCTTTTACATTGTTCTCTTGTTTTTTATTTTTTTCTAAGATGTCAGTCGATGGTTGATTTTTTTTTTTTTTTTAAGTTTTTTTTGCTTTAAATTTGACTTCATTAACTCTGAGTTTCCCTCATTAAACTCCTGGTCATATTCTCGACCTCTCGAGACGTCTGTTTGGAAATTAGGTGGAAAAATGTTGATTATTTTTGTAGCTTTTGCTCTTTAAGTCTCACTGTCACGTCTTAAATGCATCTGTTCGATATTTGCGTTCATTTGAATCTGTCTTTGATGTAAAACTCAACAATCTGTCCTTCACATCTGACTTTTTAATGTGACGTCGAAAATGTACAAACTGATCCGTTTCTCCACAGAAAAGCTTACTCATGGTCGCCAAAATGGCTTCCTCAAGATAGCGCTTCCTCTGTCACATTTCCTTTCAGACTCAGCCTCATAAAAGTGCACAGAGAGGGGGGGGAGGTGTTGAGTCCTCTGGGTGGGGTTTTGTCTCGTTTTTTAAAAGTGTTTTCTTAGAATGGAACAAACCTGTCTGTTAAAACGGTGAATGCAAATGTTTAAAGACGAATCAGGAAGTGTGTGTTTTCTGGGTGTAGTGCTGGGAGGTTTCAGTTCAGTGGGTTTTTGGGTTGGGGGAGGGGTGGGGGGTGTGTTGCAGGTGCAGAAGAAGAAGAAAGAAGTCGGACGAGGAGCGCTGGATGTACAGTGCAGTCATCCATAAAGTAGAAAGCACTACTAAACTCCTCACCAAAGTGTAGTGTTTCCTACTTTATGGATGAGTGTACTGTTTTCTTCAGGGAGAGGAAGAACCCGGACGTGGAGCCTGCTGCGCACGCAGTCTAAAAGGAGGAAGCTGCTTTGTCTCACGAGGCCGCACGCCACCCACAGTGTTGCCCCAGTCTGTCCACGTAGGCGGTGTGTGGCATGGAGCACAGATCACAGCGCCTTCTCACGCTTTTATCACAAGTTGATCTTTGTTGAAATGTCCTGAGAAAGAGAGAGACGATGCAGTGTGTGTGTGTGGTTTTAAATAAAGATTAAAGATTGAAAAAGCATTCTGTGGTCACTTCTGTTCTTGAGCAGCACAAACTGTGAGCGACAGCCGAGAGTTTCTGTGAAAATAGACGTTCTTTATTCCTGTAAAAAGATCCATCATGAAAGGAAACCATCACAAGTTCAAGTTCCACGAGTCGCCTGTGTTCTACATCTTTAGTCACTGAAGCTCCGCCCACAAAGTCTGCACATGCAAAACAATCAAGAAACTGAAAAACATCATTAACAAAATATTTACACATGAGCTTCCAAAAGGGTGATAAAAATGTGAATATATAAAAAAGGGACATTGTACACTGGTTTTCAAACGATGAGTGCAGGAAAGACAAAAAAAAAAGAAAAAGCAACCAAATCAAGATCAAAATTCCCACTCTGTATGAAAATATAACACAACACTGTTCATTATTTACACACGTCTCCTCCTCCTCCTCCTCCCACTGCACGGAGCGTCTGCAGATCCAACACGGCAGACGGAGCAGCGTCCATCAACGCCCACATGACAGAAACATAAATAAGGCCGAACATGGATCACATTGGTATGCATGCAGTCAATAAACATCCTGTAAACAACATATTAAGACTAAACAAGGTCTTCTTGTAAGGCTAAATATGACGCGCTGAGCTAAAACCACAAGCTACATGAAGTCAGTCCACAGCCGAGCCGCCGCCGCCGCCTACTCACTACACAGCAGGTCGAGGAATACTTTGTGCATTAAAGGCCGTCAAATACAATGAGAGTACAAATATTTGCTGTACATTTCGGCAACTTTTGAGCATTCACTCCCCCTATACAAAACACAAAGAAGAATATAGAAATAAATTAGATTTACAGTACAGCCTTAGTGTTGCTCTGTCCCGGCTCGCTCACGTGTAAAGTGTCTCTGCCGACCCGCCCTCATGTCCATCTCTCATCCTTGGCATCGTCGTGCTCGCTTCATTAGCACTGACGGACAAAACAATGACGACATTAAAGGAAACAATCAGACTGCGTCCAAACTGAAGCAGACTGAGTGATGGGTATGATGTTTAGGACCGGCCTCAGCCCGGGCTCGTCCTCCACGCTGCTGCTGCTGCTGGACGCTTGGTTTCTCGTTGCTATGCTAACAGGTCAGCACCTAAGATTTTGGCATATTCTGCTTTTTTTATTTCATTTTATTTATTTATTTATTTTTTACAGCAGAGTCACAGGTGGCCCAGCGTTCATAAGAAACTACAAGTAAGAACCTGAGAAGTTACCTGAACAGCCCCGTATCACACTGCTGAAGTGAAAATCACTGCATGGCGTCGCTGAGCAGGAAGGTCGGGTCCACACACTCATGGCTAAACTGAAGAGCTGACTGTAGATACAGGACAGCTCTCTCAATGGGCTTTAGAGCTAACGCTACTCTGAATTAGCTTTATGAACAGTCTACAGTTTAATAATGTAAACATGTGGACACGTGAATAAAAACAAAGTTTCACCAGTACTCTTCATGGGCTCATGAACATGGCCTATCGCCTAAAGCCGCTGCACACTGTACGATTTCAGACCCATTTAGACACGATTTATTTATTTACGACTTGTCTTCAAGTGCACTACTATTGCACACACTCTGAGAGCAGAGCCATGAGACGATTCCCCGACTTCTGTGCTTTTTTTTTGTCCCAATTTTACCTGCATTTACTGACAGACGTCACCATGACAACAGCAGGTATGCCTATTTAATCTGTCCCCCCTCTCATATCGAGAGAAACGTAGCAGACAGAACATTTGTTTTGAGTTAGCTGATAGTTAGCTCGTGTTTATCGGCGGTTAGTGTGAGAGCGAGCGAGCCTGTGGGAGTTTTCATTCACAGCTGTGAATGCTCCGTCCTGTTTTAACTCGCTCACTGTGAGCTCTCAGGTCATACTCGACAATCAGGTCATACAGTGTGAGCTCATAGTGCTCACACTGTGTGTGAGTAAACGATTCAGTCGTACAGTGTGAGCAGACGCACTGTTCTGCAATCGTACGGTGTTTCACACACTACAAGTCAAATCTTTTACATGGAGGCAAAAGACAAAGTGACATGAAGAAGTTATTGCAGTCTATTATAGTAAGTGGTGATAAAAATGCTTCAATTCTACTGAGCGATGCTCCTCTTATTTACACGTGTTAAATAAACATCCAACATGCTACGACCATACATCACTGAAGCGCTGCACGATCAGCATCACGCTGCACGTTTAGCATCACGCTGCATGATTAGCATCACACTATATGTTTAGCGTCACACTGCATGTTTAGCATCACGCTGCACGATTAGCATCAAGTTGCACGGTTATGATCAAGTTGCACGTTTAGCATCAAGTTGCACGGTTATGATCAAGTTGCACGTTTAGCATCAGGCTGCCTAATCCAGAGCTCGTCATAATCTCAGAGGTCAAACACATACAAACATGAAATCCAGGAAATAAGAGCTGCAGAAGTGGCCATACAATCATGATACAGTGCACACAGGAGCTGCTGCTAGCTAAATCAAAGTTATAGCCCAAAGTCTTTTTAGGAGCTTTACGTCCAAATCCGACAGCATTTTACTTCAAAGAGAAACATAAAAGAATAATAATAGCAGTGACATTATTAACGTCTGTCATGTTGCTTCCAAGTCTTACGTCAGCGTAAATTAAATCCATTGATGCTCTGACGATACAGAGATAACTTTTACATACTGTGATGATCAGCGTTTTTTGAATGATTGATTGAAAGAATTATATAGGATTTTCGTTGAGTCATCAGTTGCAGCCTCATTAGCTAGCAGATTAGCCTACAGAGTACACAGCATTCCTCTATCTATCCCACACACTCAGAAAATACTTTATATTGAATCGTCAGGCTGGCTGTGAGTGTTGTCACAAACATGAAGAGTTCCTGTTAATGCCTCTGTTCACCAGTGGACCGGGCGGCTTCACACACACACACACACACACACACACACACACACACACACACACACACACACACACACACACACACACACACACACACACACACACACACACACACACACACACACACACACCTCAGAGAAGGTCACACCTTCACATTCAGAGTCCACTGTGAACCTCCAACTACAAACTTAGATCAGATCTAACGAGCACACATCAAAGAGGATGATGATGATGACTAATCTGCCATGATGTCACTTCATGCATCGTGGCCATGGTCAGGTAGGAGTCTAACACACATAAATAACTGTACAAAGTCACGTATAAATACTTCTGAAGAGGAGAAAACATGTGAGGGACAAGCGGACAGATATCTAAAAAAACATCCAATCAGGATGGTTAGTGCATTTGTTTAAGTCCCACAGAGGAAGAGATGCTCGAATGAATAAAGTGGCACCAGTACATGAACATTAAAGCTAATGTCGTATTAGCCTCGTCTGCTCTGCTCTTCTATCTCCTTCTCTAACAGAGAGCTCCAAATAACCCTGATCCAGTTCATTAATGTTTCATATTCAGCATTAAAGCCGACACTGAGCAGAGAGTTTGTAAATGCTTAGATAATTAGGAAGTATTCAGAGAATATGTTTGCACACCTAAACATGCTTTCACACATGCTCTTGTGGTGCAGTAAGCTGCATCTTAACGTTTGAACATACTCTAAATGCATCAGCTGGTCTAGCAGGTGCTCTAAGGCAAAAGTACTATTTCTAAAGCATCAGTAATTAGATGTGATAGCTGCTAACCGCACAGACTACCGCGTGAGAGTGACAGAAAAAGTGCTTTCAGTGTGATGCGAGTACTTTGAGCCTCATTCTTTCTTGCTGGATCCCAGTTTTTTAAACAGCTTCTTGCCTTTGGAGAAAAAGCTTTTCTTCTTCTTGCCTTGGGCAGAGCAGTCTGTCTGTGTCAGGCTGTCTGCTGGGAGGGGGGCTGATGGGGGGCAGCAGGCCTCCGCTGCAGTCGGACCTGGAAGAGCCGGACCTGGAGCTGGGCCCAGGTCCGACGGGGGGCTGTCAGTCAGGGTCGTCGGTTTGGAAGGTAGGTCTGTGCGTGCAGTTGTTTCAGGAAAAGAGGGATCTGTTTGGGGGGGCGGAGCCTCCTCTTTCAGAGGGGGCCCAGGATCTGGTGGCTCTGAAGACGACGTGCAGGTCTCCTTCAGGAAGAAAGCAACAACATTAGGACAGGCATGATGAATGTTTTCTACAACTAACGACTTGAATAATGTAATCTTTGTGATAATAAAAACACAACACGAGTATGCACACAAAGGAGGAGGCAGAGGGTGTGACTCTCAACGTTTAAACCTTTGTTTAAAACAACCAGAGCCAGACTGGAGGTTAAGTTCTGGATCCTACACAGAGGAGGAGTTCAGAACAGTGAAGGTCGTGGGAGGAGGACGTTAAGCGCTCACTGAACAGGGGACGCTAGTTTCAAAAAAGGGCTTTAATACACCTACAGAGAAAGACTTACGATCACGTCTCAAAGTGCACAGATCGTTTTTGTTTCTGCAAAAGGCCATGCAGGAAACGTCGAGGAAAAACAGAGGTGACAGTTAAAGAAACGGAAGAGAAAACAAAAGAAAGAAACATCTTGTAAAAGATGAAAAAAAGAAGACTTTTTATATCAACGTTAGGTTTAGAATAAAAAGACACATATTGACAGTACAGTAGTGCATAACTCCGAGCTACCTGTGCCTCTTTCTTGGGTTCTGGTGCAGGCTGAGCAGAGACTAGCTCTGCTGGAGCGTCTTCTGGGACGGCCTGCAGGAAGTTAGAGGGGACTAAACCTCTTTGTCCATTCAAGTCTCCCTGGAAGAGAAATTATACATCAAGACATGAGGGCATTGGAAACAATACAAGCTTGATCCTGCAAATGGCAAGTCCACTCCTGAGGGTCTGGGGGCTGCTCTTTCAAGACCCGACCAAAGACAAATGGTAGCATCAGCCTCTCCCTCCGTCCTACTCTACCTGACATTTTCTGTATCTTGTACTTTTTTGCATATATTATAATTTAAATAACTGCGGTGCATTTTAATGTATAAATCATATTAAAGCTGTTTCAAGTCATCCTCCTGCTTTCCTTTAGTCCATATTTTATTGGTGCAGATTACAACTATGGCAGATCCCACAGCTGCTTCACTCCCCAATGTGCACAGGAAGTAAGTAAGTAAAGTTTATTCATATCGTACTTTTCACAGACAAAGGACACAAAGTGCTTTACAACAACAACAACAACAACAACAACAACAACAACAACAACAAAAACAACAACAAATGAGTACGTCATGGACGACATCATAAAATCCTGCTATAACCAGGAACAATAATCGGCAGTCAAACATATATCAGTAGGTTCACTGGTTGGACCTGATTACTCATAGGCCGGTCTAAACATCAAAGACTCAAAAGTTTCAGAAAGACTTAGCGAGATGGGCAGGGAATTCCAGAGGATCGGTGCTAGGCCCCAAACACACGATCACCTCGAGTCTTAAACTGTGTCTGCGGGACAGACAGCAGGTGTAAGGGTGTTTGACGTTAGTGCAAGGGTGGGTGAATACGGGCCCGCTTTAATTCTGATTCTGTTTGTCCACCTCTTCTTCTATTGTATTAATTTTGTCCCTCAGGGGTCTATCCTTTCTTATTTTATTTGACGTATTTGAAGGTGTGTTGATACTTACGTAAAAGAAACCATCTTCGTCCATGTCACCAAACACATGTATGATGTCACCAGCACTGAAGGTCAGCTCGGCCTGAACGGTCATAAAACACGAGGCACATAAAGAACAAATTAATACACGTATGATACGCTCACTGTGAAAAAAAGACTTAATGTGTGTGACTGTCTGACCTCGACGTCAGTGTTGGGGGAGCTCTCCCGTGGATCATAATCAAAGATGGCGACCATCCTGCGAGCCCCTGGGGTGGGGTTTCCTGCAGCTGCAGGTGCAGCAGGGGCAGGAGCCTGACTGGGATCTGTCAATCAAAACAGAGAGGGGCGAACATGAAGTCTGACACCCTGATAATCAAAAGAGAGACACGCTCTCTGCATGTCCTCTCAGCTCAGCTGCATGCAGCTTGTCGTGCCTGCGACTCACTCAGCGGCGTGCGAAGCTGAGCAAGCGTCACACCACTGCAGTCTGACACTTCAAAAGAAGAACAGTGGGGGGGGTGAGAGTTAGGATTAATTATTAAACATCAATCACAGCAAACATCTGCAGTAGGATGAAGAGTCGATGATAAACTAAATGATGATGAGAGAACGCCACATGAACTGTGAAATGAAAAGAGGAGTTAAGAGGAGGGACTGCTTGACGTGCACACCACAAGGTTCATGATGAACTTCATTACATCAGATCGACACTTTGATTTATCATCAGACTCTCAGAAAAAAATGCTTTTGTTCATGATGAGTGCTTTTTTTTATATTCCTCCAAACAATCAAACAGTCCCTGATGATCGTGAGAGAAGGTGTTTATGTACAGCTCGAACATATTCACACGGCGGCCATTTTCCTCTGACATCACGCTCTGGTCCAGCAGAGATCGCCAAAAGGACGATATCCTACTGATGTGGAACAGGTTGAAAATCGTATAACTTTAGAGAATCTAATAAATCATTATGAGAAGATCACTTTCAGATTAATTAAATGAGATCCATTAAAGGAGGAGATCAATCATTCTCACTTTGACCGTTAATGATGTCATTGTTGGACTCCTGTTGAGTAGCGTTGTGAGATGTGTTGCTCAGCCTCTGCTTGAAACACTTTATTTCACCTGCTGCCTCTTAAAGCCCCCCCCCCAACTCTCCTCCAATTGACCAGCACTGTTTCCAGTCGCAGGGTAATTTGAATGAGCTTCCAGGGTGGGGCGTGTCTTACAACTTTTCTCTGACTCGTTCTGCAGACGTCAACCACATACGGGGATTACACCAACAACTGTATTGCGTGTGTAAAAAAACGTTTCCACGGTTGTGGAGCTTCCAACATCGTAACATTAAATGCATTTATTTAAATATGGATCAGTAGGATTTTAGCAACGGCCAATAAATGTTGTACGATCGGTGGTTGAGGTGGTCAGTGCAGACTTTATCGTCTTTGCAATTGATGATCAATTAGGAAACTGTGAAATACTAATGATCAGATTCACTGTTTATACAACTTGTAACCCGGAAAACAAAGTCAGACATAAAAGCATTTGAGCCTCCCAACCTTTAACACACTTGAAAATGGCCGCTGAGTGAATATGGTGGGCTAAACAAAAAAGAGCACAAAGAATGAAAAATAAATGTGTTAAATCTCATGCTGTTGTCCAGCAGACGTTGAAGAGGCTAATCATGCAGGTGCAAACAGAGCGTCAAACGCTAACGACAAACCTTGGCTGTCCGAGTCTAAACTCTCCTCCCACAGCGCTGCAGACTCCACTGGAAGAGAGATTAGGTGTGAGGGGGGGGAAAGGCATAAGTAACTCAATGATATGAGAATAAGCAGGCCTGAGGGTAAAGTATGTCTCAGTCAACACACACACACACACACACACACACACAAAGTCAAGGATGGAGATCTGAGGGGATGGATGCTTTTACAAAGTAATCTTTGGATGATTATGTAAGGCATCTGTGGCATTGAGGCAGAATTCTGGCAAAGCACACTGCTCAAAATAATTAAGGGAACACTTGAATCACTCATCAGATCTCGATGAATGGATTATACCATTTCGAAATATTTACCGATGTAGATTGTACAATTTGTTGAGAACAAAATAAAGTTACAACGGTCGATGGAAACCAAAATCATCAACACATTAAGGGCTGGATTCAAAATCACACCGAAAAACAAAGTAAGACCTGAAATCACATCATAACATGACTATGATCCCCACATGTCTGTATGGACTCCTGAAAAAAGGTCACTCATGGGCACACTCTTTCTGAGTTGATGGATGGTGTCCTAGGGGATCTCCTCCCAGACCTGGATCAGGTCATCAGAGTGCTGGAGGTCATTTTGTAACGCTCTGGCTGAGCCCCTCTTGTTTCTCCTCGCACAAAGCAGCAGATAGCGGTTGTGCTGCCGTGCTGATGCACTTCTACGACCCTGCCTAGCTCTCCTGGTATCTCCTCCCTGCTCCTGAGACTGTGTCTGGAGACACAGCACGCCTTCTTACAACCTCTCATACGGATATGCTATCCTGGAGGAGCTGGACTACCTTTTGCATCCTGATTGGGCCTCATGCTACCAATAGTGACGAGGACAGAAAACTAGAGAGGAATCAGTCAGGCAGGAGAAGGAGAGAGAAACTGTCTGTGGACACCACATGTAAAACAGTTCCCTTTGTGGTGGGCTGTCTTACTTTTTCCTCTCCATTGCACCTGTTGTCACTTTCATTTGCACCGAAGCAGCTGAAACTGATTCACCATCGCTTGAGCTTCCTAAATGGACACACTGAACTGACTCGCTGTTAAACTGTGATCAATAAGTGTTCCTTTAAGTTTTTGAGCAGTTTACTTTTATCTTACAATAATCAATAATAACCAAGATAAGGCCACATTCTGTTGCCATGTGTGCAATGAATTACATGAATATCCAATGAGAGCATGTGTAAATGTATATCTGAATCAAAAGAATGAGGACCTGTGGAAAGATGTGGAGCCTGTGAGCCCTTAACTAGAAAGTATAAGCCTTGGTCTTAATATGAGAATGTGAAGGTGCTTTACAGTACTTCACAGAGTTTACAGTTTTTTCCATACTACTGATTTCACTAACACAGTGGCTGACCTAAAAATCCCCCCAGGGTGCTGAGTGAGAAAGCAGCAACTGAAAGAGCAGAGGATTGAGTAAATGGAAGAGAAGCAAACCGGAGAAGAGAATAAAGGAGGGAGGCGAGAGGCCACACTGCAGCGAGACACACCTTTCTTGGATCGTCTCGGTTTCGGCGGTGGAACAGGGCGACGCGGAAGCTGTGCGTGTGTGCGAGTGCCTTAATGGAGTTTTAGAAAGGAACACCACAAAATAAAGTAAAAAAGAAACACAGAGGTGGAATATTTTGAGAGAAGCAGACAAGACAAAGTCGACAATGAGAAGCAAGTGAACAGCATTTTTTTTTTTTTTATGACAACCAGTGAGCAGCAGACACAGCAGTGAGAACAAGTGGAAGTGAAAGGGTTAAACCATCTGTGTATACCACTCTGGGTAGAAGGCAGGAAACAGAAGCAAAGTGTGACTCGCCACAGACTTTGGCTTAGTGTTTTTAGACACCTGCATGAGAATACTTAGAATATGTAGATGGTTAGGATCCCCTTTACATCAACACAGTGAACAAGAATCTACATGTTTGAGCTCTCTGCTGACTCAAAGGTCAAAAGGTCAAGGATGCTTTAGCTGTTCTGCAATCAGAAGCAGATAAAAACATGTGCAGTGTTTCAGTTTTTAAAGTCGGCCAGCTCATAGAGAGTTAAATGAATTATTCATATTTTACGTGTCTGGATTCTTTAACACTTGTGCTGCTATTTTCACTTCCCACTTGAACATGAACAGCAGTGATATCATGAGTTAAACATTACAATATAAAACTCATGTAAAGCATTGCTACATGTGATAGTCTGTAGCTCTCAGAACAGATTTGATTGCACACCACTTAAAGAGATTTTAAAGAGATTTAGGTCCATGTTTAGGTAGATGCTAGAATATTTATCAACCTACCTATCTTGTCCATGGAGGCAGCGGTGGACAAGAAGCCCTGCTGCAGTAGCTGCTGCCGCGTCTCCTCGTCCTCCACCTGGATCTCAGACACCATGTTACACGGCACAAAGCCCAGGCGACCACCAGACTCTCCTCGGTAGAACCCGTCTGGGTCTTTATCTCCAAAAACCTGGAGAGAGAAGTGTAAGAAATGTCACTTATCAACTGTTTCACACACACACACACACACACACACACACACACAACACACACACACACACACACACACACAGGTTAGCATGCATAAATATTTTAGTTTTTTATGGTCATGTTTGAGGTGTTCGGGGACGCACTTTGATGATCTGTCCTTCGGTGAAGGGCAGCTCCTCCTCAGCAGCATCGGGATTGGGAGACATGGTCGAAGGATTGTAAGGGAAGAGGGCTACAAAGATCCGTATGTCGCTGTCCGCTTTTGTCTTTGTTGAATCAACACCACCTGCAGAGACAAGTTCATGCGACTATTAGCTTATATCTAATGTTTTTTTTAACTGGTTGTAATGCGGTACTACAGCCAGACGGCTGCTGTAAGACATCTGAAAACTGTTTGCAAACTACCATTTAATAACGAGAGAAGAAGAAAGCGTTAGGACTAGATGCTGGTAAAATGTGTGCGCTGCTGCCTGATGAGTTCTGGGTGGAACTCCTTTAACAAATATAAGAAATAAAGGTCTAGTGCAACAACTATGCAGTCATTTGAGAGTGAAGCACCCAGCAGGAGGTCCATCCAGAGAACAACAGACAGAGGTGAGCTTTATCACCAGAAGAAGAACGCTTATTAGAAGTTCACAGTTTATCAAACAGGTATTTATGGTACACACTTGAAAATAGAATCGACAGAGTTGTGCCAGAGTTAACGGCTCTCTCTCTCTTCCCTTAAGTTCTACATTTCTGCAATTCATTTATCAGACGCTTTTATCCAAAGCGACAAACATCAGAGAGTAAGAACAACAAGCAAGGATCTAGAGAAAAGGAAACAACGTCAGGAAGTGCAAACAAACAGTAATAAGTCTGATGTGTCTGCATGTGTTTGCACAAACAACGACAGGAAGTCTTGATGATACTGGCATGTCATTGGTCACAGCTGAGCCAGGAGGTGGAACCTTTTAAAAGGGTTAATAGGGGGGCAGCGATAGACTAGTGGCTAAGATGCACGCCACATGTACGGAGGCTATAGTCGTTGTCGCAGCGGTCGAAGGTCAGCTCTTTGCTGCACGTCATCCTCCCGCTCTCTCCTCCCAATGCTTCCTGTATCTCTCATCAGCTGTCCTCTCTAATACGGCAAAAATCGCCAAAAAATATAACTTCAACATTTTTTAAATAAAGTATGTTTTGCATGGAACCAAAGATGAAATCGTTTGCTCACTATTTGTAAAAACAATATTTTAATACCACTACCAGTGACACCTGAGGGTCCCTGCAATCCGTAGATGGATCAGCTTTGACAGAGAGCCAAACTGATAAATCCGATACCTTACATCTTGAAACATAAGCTTTATATTGTGTGCATGCATTCTCCTCTCTTGATTCCCTCCCTTTGTAAGCTTGAGAAAATTCAATTCAATGTCATCACTATAACACCACTTCTGTATTTTGCACACAGGCCAATGCATAGCTTGCAACACGCTCTGAAAATAGCTTAGCCGTGCCCGCCCCTCCCCCGCTGCCTGCAACCTGATGCTATGAACAGCGTTTGCAGAGCACAGGCATGTCCTTAAAAGAGGTAATCAAGCTAAACCACTGATCCTGAGATTAGTGAGCTGTTTGACAAACGGGCACTCCTTCATGACCTGAAGGAACAAGCAACGGAGAAAGCAGCGTTCATTTTTTAAAATAGATTGGAGGACACATACAAGAGGCATAACAAATCACATTCAGTGTGATCATCTGTCCCATGTCACAGCTCAGGCAAAGCAGCCTTTTTCATCAAACATGACTTGAAGCACTTCCTACAGCATGATATCCCCGAGGTCCTGCATGAGACTAATGAGGCTCAAAGCTTTACAACTGTTTGACAGCTAGCGACAATTTTGAAGAGCTGTAGTGACATTTTAAGCTGCACTGAAGAGACGAGTTCTCGATCTCATTAAGAGAGAATCAGCCCATCTGTGGCAAGAGTCACAGGCAGCACACTTTCACATCCTCACTGATATTCTAGTAGATAGGACTGAACTTCTCACTGCACCCCCCCTGCCCCCTTTTCACATGTATGCTTTTGCATTTGTGTGTAACAAGCAGAGCACCCACACATGTACCTCAGAGGTTTTTGGGGTTTGTTGAATTGAGAGTGCAGCTTGTGAAGAAAAGAAAAGAGAAAGAGAAGATATGTGGGGAGGGGGGAGGGGGAGGGGGGTGGGTGGGGAGAGAGGAAGGCTTGCCCGTCCAGTCTGTAGGCCGCTTGTTTGCTGGCTAATCGAGGTTACTATTTTAATGTCTGTCACTTCCTCCTGTCATGACAAGCCACTTTGGGTTAAGCCTGTTCTCAGCTTAGCGGGCTCTCTCCCACTTCATCACTGCAGCTACAGCACCTCCTCCTCCCTCCCCTACACAAGGTGCTAATCTGACCACCATCGTTTGAAAGAGTGGAAGACTTGCCAACAGAAACCAGAGGTGTGTCAGAAGCACTTTAACATCTAGCTGTTGCTTCTTGAAGATTAGAGAGAGAGAAAGAGACTGAAGAAACAGGAAGACAAAACAGGAAGCAGTGTCTGACCTCTGGGTTGCCTGGACTGCGAGCACCCTGCTTCAGCCTGGACTCCCCACGATGGACCCGCCTCAGCTGGAGGCATTTGGCTGGGCTCCTGCTCAAAGTATTAAAATAAGAAACAAGGCATTCAAAAAAACTTCTAATATAGACACAGTTACTGATAAGATGAAGGGACATCTCAGGGTTCAAAGAAAACAAACAGCCACTGCAGCTGTTTCTTTTTTTTACTTTCATATTCAATAACTAACTCCTTATGAAATGATTTGGCATAATATTTGTTAACTACAGGGCTCCGACTCATTTTTCAACTCAAATCCCCCAGACTACTGGCAGGTTTTTCAGATCATTTCATCAGAGTAAAAACAGCTTGATGAGTTTTGTGTAAATCTAAATGTATATTTACAGTCAGACTACTTATGATGTTATGTTGCCAGACTTCTCATGACGCCAGCAGAAAATATTTTCTAATTGTGGCCAATCAACGCTGAACATCTCTGCCCCAAAAAGAAGAAAAAACTAACAGAGCAATACTCGTATAATTTTCCCATAACTGATGAGTTATTATTTGTAATGCCCTGTATATATGCAGCTAACTAAATAGGAAAGAGGCGTTAGTCTGGTCACACAACAAGTTTTCCTTCAAATGTGTTTTTTGCATCCTCCGTGCAGGAGCCCTGTACTTATTTTATCAGTCAAGAGAACCCCCAGAGTTTCCTTCATGCTGCTAATTTAAAATAGAAAGGTTGTTTTTATCTTATGCTTTGTGGTGGTTTTAGTACAGCAGGAGTAAATACATCCACTGTGACCTGATACAAAAGCTCAGATTCACTTCAGCCTTCATGAAATCCAATGTTTTTTGTTTTCCTTTATATCATCTAAATATGACACTAAATACACAGCCGATCTCCCTCTGTCCTCTGCAGTGATGATGAGAGTAAAGGTGGGATGTGTAAGTGGTACTTCAGAGGGTTCGACCTACAGTGCTACAGGAGATAAGAGGCGGGGTTTGGCCTGCAGCAACGTTTACCGGGAGATCTGCCTTCAGGCCTCGGCGGAGAGGAAGTCTGCAGTGCTCCACATTAGCCCCCTCTACCCACCACTCAGCACTCATCTGCTCCACCACCACCTCCCCAGGAGGGTACTGCGAAGGCCCCTCATTGTCGTCTGTGCCGTACTCCACGTCAATCTCCACCTCGCGACCAACAGGTGACCTCACAGTCCGTACGGTTTTGCTGACCGGGTAGGGTCTTGGCTGGGTAGGACCATAGCCAGGGTTGGCTGCTGCAGCCACAGCCTTCTGACTCCTGAGCATGGCCTCCCTCCTAAGGCGGTCCCCTAGCCCTCTGAGCAGTGCTTTGCTGGTGGGGTTCAACTGGGGAGGACGGCGGGTTGAGACCCTACTGCTGGTTTGACCCTCGTATAAATTCTCATCTTCTTGTCCGGGATAGCTGATGGTGTCAACTGTGTCTGCGTAGTGCACTCTATGCTGTGTTTTAGGCTTGACCTGCAGGGGTCCCTGTCTTAGTGAAGGCTCTTTGGCTAGAGACCTGGGGTCCCTGTTAAAGTGATGATGGGTAGGGGGGACATGTGAGTGTGGGTTAGGGTGATACAGGTGTTGCTGGGGGGCATGGTGGAGGCGTTCCGAGTCTCTGGGGTGAAGGTAGCCGGGCCGTGTCCGAGGCTGACTGTAGTGGCTTAAAGGCTCTTCTTGACTGCCATCGTCCTCCTCGATCACCTCGGGGATGCTGAACAGATGCTTGTTGTGGATCACCTGAGGAGGCAACTTAAGGATCCTCTCAAGAACCTCCTCATCACTGTTGGGAGTGTCCACTTTACGTGACTATGAGGACCACAAGTCAAGAATGCACGAGTGGGTCGATGAAGGTGGGGTGCGATATAATGTTTGGTACAAATGAGGGAGGTGCAGACAACACAGAGGGCAAACCAGCCATGCAAAGGAAAGAGAAAAGAAAGAGGAAGAAAAACAAAAACAATCTCAATCAAGCATCATAAAAAAATAACAAGAAACAAGAAGTGAGATCTAAACCATGCAAGACAAACGGGAAAAAACGCTGCTCACAAAGTGCATGTTTAAATGTAGTCGAGCATGGCAGCAAAACATGAGGAGCTATAATTCCCTTTACCCTTCTAGCTGCACAAGTGTAACCCCTGGCCTGTACTTCTCCAAGGTGGTCGGACAACAGGTCCTCCTCCTCCTCCTCCAAGATGTCCGACAGATCAGAGCGGCTGTTGTCTGCATTGTAGTCACTGGGAGGCTCCACGAGCCCTCTGCTGTAATCCTGTAAAAATAAAAGATATTCTTACACATTTTGTCCTCAATGTCTGTACCTAATGTTCCCTTTTTGAAGATCCTGCTTTCTTTTAACTGTCAAATTCTTCGGTCATCGACCCCGTGAATCTCTGTCTGACACATCCTTGCAGCAGCAGTTTCAGCCATTAAAAATAACTACCAAGAAACAGTCAACCTTGTTGGTGGTTTGCTTTGTAACTTATGAAGAGGCTTCAATAACATTTTCAGTCCGTTCAATAACCTTTATGAATGACGAATTCTTCTTACCTCAGATTTGTTTCTTTATAAATCTAAACCTGCCCCCTTTTGCTGATTGAAACTCTCATAAAAGGACCGACAGGTCCAGTCACAGTCCAGTTCCTGTAGAGCACGCCGCTGCTGCAACCCCCCATCCTCTCTATTATAAGATGACTGTTGTCACAGTCAAGTACCTGTACAGTAACAGTAAGGTCAGTCCTGACCTTGATGAAGGCCACAAGCCGAAACGTGATGGTCTACTTTATTGATAAAGTGTTGCTGGAGCTTTTTGACCTCTTCTAAGCCTTTCACTCATTTCATACACCTCGGTAGTTGGTTAAGTTATGCAAGAAAATCATCTGCTTCTTCAGTTCCTCTCCAATCACAGTACAGTAACAGTCCAGTAACAGTCCAGTAACAGTCTACAAACACTCCGCCAACAGTCCAGTAACAGTCCAGTAATAGTCTACCAACAGTCCAGTAACAGTCTACCAACAGTCCAGTAACAGTCCACCAACAGTCCAGTAACAGTCCAGTAATAGTCTACCAACAGTCCAGTAACAGTCCAGTAACAGTCCACCAACAGTCCAGTAACAGTCTACCAACAGTCCACCAACAGTCTACCAACAGTCCAGTAACAGTCTACCAACAGTCCAGTAACAGTCCAGTAACAGTCTACCAACAGTCCAGTAACAGTCCACCAACAGTCCAGTAACAGTCTACCAACAGTCCAGTAACAGTCCAGTAACATTCTACCAACAGTCCAGTAACAGTCCAGTAACAGTCTACCAACAGTCCAGTAACAGTCAACCAACAGTCCAGTAACAGTCTACCAACAGTCTACCAACAGTCCAGTAACAGTCTACCAACAGTCCACCAACAGTCCACCAACAGTCCAGTAACAGTCTACCAACAGTCCAGTAACAGTCCAGCAACAGTCCAGCAACAGTCTACCAACAGTCCAGTAACAGTCCAGTAACAGTCCAGTAACAGTCCAGTAACATTCTACCAACAGTCCAGTAACAGTCCAGTAACAGTCTACCAACAGTCCAGTAACAGTCTACCAACAGTCTACCAACAGTCCAGTAACAGTCCACCAACAGTCCAGTAACAGTCCACCAACAGTCCAGTAACAGTCCAGTAACAGTCTACCAACAGTCCAGTAACAGTCCAGTAACAGTCTACCAACAGTCCAGTAACAGTCCAGTAACAGTCCACCAACAGTCCACCAACAGTCCAGTAACAGTCTACCAACAGTCCAGTAACAGTCCAGTAACAGTCTACCAACAGTCCAGTAACAGTCCAGTAACAGTCCAGTAACAGTCCACCAACAGTCCAGTAACAGTCCAGTAATAGTCCAGTAACAGTCCAGTAATAGTCCACCAACAGTCCAGTAACAGTCCAGTAACAGTCCACCAACAGTCCAGTAATAGTCCAGTAACAGTCCAGTAACAGTCCAGTAACAGTCCAGTAATAGTCCAGTAACAGTCCAGTAACAGTCCACCAACAGTCCAGTAACAGTCCACCAACAGTCCAGTAACAGTCCAGTAACAGTCCAGTAACAGTCCAGTAATAGTCCACCAACAGTCCACCAACAGTCCAGTAACAGTCCACCAACAGTCCAGTAATAGTCCAGTAACAGTCCACCAACAGTCCAGTAACAGTCCAGTAATAGTCCACCAACAGTCCAGTAACAGTCCAGTAACAGTCCACCAACAGTCTACCAACAGTCCAGTAATAGTCCAGTAACAGTCCAGTAACAGTCCAGTAACAGTCCAGTAACAGTCCACCAACAGTCCAGTAACAGTCCAGTAATAGTCCAGTAACAGTCTACCAACAGTCCAGTAACAGTCTACCAACAGTCCAGTAACAGTCCACCAACAGTCCAGTAACAGTCTACCAACAGTCCAGTAACAGTCCAGTAACAGTCTACCAACAGTCCAGTAACAGTCCAGTAACAGTCCACCAACAGTCCAGTAACAGTCCACCAACAGTCCAGTAACAGTCTACCAACAGTCCAGTAACAGTCCAGTAACAGTCTACCAACAGTCCAGTAACCGTCCAGTAACAGTCCAGTAACAGTCCACCAACAGTCCAGTAACAGTCCAGTAATAGTCCAGTAACAGTCCAGTAATAGTCCACCAACAGTCCAGTAACAGTCCAGTAACAGTCCACCAACAGTCCAGTAATAGTCCAGTAACAGTCCAGTAACAGTCCAGTAACAGTCCAGTAATAGTCCAGTAACAGTCCAGTAACAGTCCACCAACAGTCCAGTAACAGTCCACCAACAGTCCAGTAATAGTCCAGTAACAGTCCAGTAACAGTCCAGTAATAGTCCACCAACAGTCCACCAACAGTCCAGTAACAGTCCAGTAACAGTCCACCAACAGTCCAGTAATAGTCCAGTAACAGTCCACCAACAGTCCAGTAACAGTCCAGTAATAGTCCACCAACAGTCCAGTAACAGTCCAGTAACAGTCCACCAACAGTCCAGTAATAGTCCAGTAACAGTCCAGTAACAGTCTACCAACAGTCCAGTAACCGTCCAGTAACAGTCCAGTAATAGTCCAGTAATAGTCCAGTAACAGTCTACCAACAGTCCAGTAACCGTCCAGTAACAGTCCAGTAACAGTCCACCAACAGTCCAGTAACAGTCCAGTAATAGTCCAGTAACAGTCCAGTAATAGTCCACCAACAGTCCAGTAACAGTCCAGTAACAGTCCACCAACAGTCCAGTAATAGTCCAGTAACAGTCCAGTAACAGTCCAGTAATAGTCCAGTAACAGTCCAGTAACAGTCCACCAACAGTCCAGTAACAGTCCACCAACAGTCCAGTAACAGTCCAGTAACAGTCTACCAACAGTCCAGTAACAGTCCAGTAACAGTCCACCAACAGTCCAGTAACAGTCCACCAACAGTCCAGTAACAGTCTACCAACAGTCCAGTAACAGTCCAGTAACAGTCTACCAACAGTCCAGTAACCGTCCAGTAACAGTCCAGTAACAGTCCACCAACAGTCCAGTAACAGTCCAGTAATAGTCCAGTAACAGTCCAGTAATAGTCCACCAACAGTCCAGTAACAGTCCACCAACAGTCCAGTAATAGTCCAGTAACAGTCCAGTAACAGTCCAGTAATAGTCCAGTAACAGTCCAGTAACAGTCCACCAACAGTCCAGTAACAGTCCACCAACAGTCCAGTAATAGTCCAGTAACAGTCCAGTAACAGTCCAGTAATAGTCCACCAACAGTCCACCAACAGTCCAGTAACAGTCCAGTAACAGTCCACCAACAGTCCAGTAATAGTCCAGTAACAGTCCACCAACAGTCCAGTAACAGTCCAGTAATAGTCCACCAACAGTCCAGTAACAGTCCACCAACAGTCCACCAACAGTCCACCAACAGTCCAGTAATAGTCCAGTAACAGTCCAGTAACAGTCCACCAACAGTCCAGTAACAGTCCAGTAATAGTCCAGTAATAGTCCAGTAACAGTCTACCAACAGTCCAGTAACAGTCCACCAACAGTCCAGTAATAGTCCAGTAACAGTCCAGTAACAGTCCAGTAATAGTCCACCAACAGTCCACCAACAGTCCAGTAACAGTCCAGTAACAGTCCACCAACAGTCCAGTAATAGTCCAGTAACAGTCCACCAACAGTCCAGTAACAGTCCAGTAACAGTCCACCAACAGTCCAGTAACAGTCCACCAACAGTCCACCAACAGTCCAGTAATAGTCCAGTAACAGTCCAGTAACAGTCCACCAACAGTCCAGTAACAGTCCAGTAATAGTCCAGTAATAGTCCAGTAACAGTCTACCAACAGTCCAGTAACAGTCCAGTAATAGTCCAGTAACAGTCCAGTAACAGTCTACCAACAGTCCAGTAACAGTCCAGTAACAGTCCAGTAACAGTCCTGTCTATAGCTTGAGAGATAACATGTTAAAACCTTGGTAATTTAAATTTGAGGGTGCCGGGGTGATTGCTGATCATCAGTTTAACACACAGTTCATATTGTGAGCATAATGGTGATTCATAGAATAGAATAGAAAATAGTTGATTGTCTTCCATTTCCTTGCAATGGGAAGAAATATTTCGGTTTCACTGTGCAAGGACATACAATGGATGTGCACTTATGTAATCTAACTAATGTAATATTGTCATATTGAGACCCAAAGAAGAGTAGCTGCTGTTTAATCCAGAGGCTAACAAACAAACCAACAAACATTCTAGCACCTGTGAACCACCTTTCAGCTCAGTCCTCACCACTGATCAGACTCAGTTAACTCTTAAAGTTACAGACACTTCTGCAGTTTGCAGTATCAAATGGTACCAAACATTGTGACTGACCTGCTGCCTGCTGCAGAACTCTGGCTCCTGGTCCTGTTGTAAGAAGTCTTCCATGGACACCAGACGGGTATTCTCTCGCTCCTCCTCTGCCTCGGACTCCAGCGGTGAAACAGGGCGTCGGTGGAGGTTAGTGTCCTGAGGGTTAAGGAGGTCTGTGATGGGGGCTTTGGGCGGAGTGGGGATGCGCTCAGGGATCTCGAGCTTGGCACTGGGGTCCTCAATGAACTCTGTGATGGAAGGGAAAGGGCGTATTGTTCCAGGGCTGTCAGTGTCTCTGCGCTGCTGCAACGCTACTGCTGCTTCTGTTACTGCTGATGGTGCAGGAGCAGTAGGTGCTGCTACTGGACATGGTGGAGGCGCTGAGGTGATGGGGGAGGTCACATGAACCTGGAGACAAGAAATAGGGACAATTAAGCCCTATTAAATAGAAATGATCCATGCAGAACACAGATTTTAAAGTTTGACAATGTCTGCCGAGAAAGAAAAATAATATTTAAGTATGTTTAATATAGAAGCTTGTTTACAATGGAGAAAGAAGATACATATAGAAAGAGTAACTGATATATGGGCATCATGTTTGTGTTTAGTTCAAATTTTAAAAGAACCTTCAGGTACAGAAGCTTATGTTTGAGTGGCACCTTGATTTTCTCCCCAATGACACCAAACAATACAGAACGACAAGCACCAGTGCCTTTTGGCCAAAAGCTTGACACTAAAGACTAAATTCATCTCATATAAATGCCAGGATAGCATACCATGGAAGTAATGGTGGAGGCCATTGGTAATGAGGCCTCACACGCAGCCAAGGCAGCAGCAGAAGACGGGTTGGCCCAGGCCCTCACATAAGAGGCGTATAAGAGACGATCTTCTGAGTGGAGAGCATTAGGAGGGTTGGCATCAGCCTCTATGACGAGGCCTGAGTAATAAGAGTCTGATGGCATAGAGCTGGGCAGCACAGAGACTTTGGCAGCAGAGTTCCCGTAGGACGGCGGAGGGGGCAGGTTGCTACAGCCTGCAGGGGTGCAGGGTAGGGGTGGCACGACTGGGGTGATGACGGCTGGACCTGACATGATGGCAGCCAGCTTAGAGGGCACATTGACAGGCATAGAGTCACAGGACTCCCCATGGGCAGACATTGTGCGGACAGTGAGATCCTGAGCTGCCTGCAGAGACTGAATCTGAGAGGGGCCCAGCAGGGCACTGCCGGCTGTTGGGGAAGACACCTCCAGCACCTTTGATAGGAGAACAACAGATACCTTTTTTAATTTACCACATCACAATGGCATTGAAAAACATATATCTATACTTAAATTGAAACACAATGCATTGCTAGGTATAAAAGGAATGTTAAAGTGCAACAAAAAAGTTCTTGCCTTTTTCCTGTCAGCATAAATAGTGTATCCAGTTACACGCACTCCATTGGAGGTCCCAGCAGCATCTATAGTGACCGGCAGCCAGCTGACAAGAGCGATCCCAGGGGAGGGTCCCTGCTCCAGCTGCAAGTCCAAAGGAGCATCAGGGGGGCCTACAGGTATCCAACGCATCACAGCACAGCCAGGAACAAGCAAAAGACAGAGAAATGTTTCAGTGAAGGACCAAGTGATTGAATCATATTGAAGGTACAGTACTCAGAATAGGGGGATATTTTCACGATGGGCATGTGACTCTACTGAGAATAAATACTAACTAATACTCTAAAAGAACATTGAGAAATTCAGAAAACCGAATACCTGAGTTCCCAGACAGTTGGCATGAAACTTAAGCAAATTTGAAATATTATTTAGAGAAACACAAAACTGGAAAGACACTCATCACATATGCATCTATAGGGTTCTGAGTTATTCATGAAAAATAAGTAAAACTGCAATTTTACTGCAATTACTTTTGGGTAGGAAGGAAAATATCAATATCTTTAGATTGAAAAGCTTCCTACAGTAACAGGACAGGACTCGTATCCTCGGTAGAAATGTTTGATCATATTGGTGTGGAATCAGTCAACATGACCAATCCAGTCTCCTGTTTGACTTCCCTTTGATCCATCCTGTATCAAGGTGCTGTAGCTGTCTAACTAAGGAGAGGCAGGTTGGAGCAGCTCTCATGAACAAACAGATGTCCGTGTGGGAGATACAGAATCACCATCACTGATTATAGAACATCTAATTCGGAGGTTTTTGGAGTCAACAGCTCATTTGTTAACATAGGACTGTGCAGGGGGCCGGATAGCCTAGCAGCGCCCTTGTAGTCCTCATTGCGGCGGCCGTGGGTTCACATTTGGCCTCGGCCTTTGCTTCATGTCACCCCCCACTCTCTCCTCCCATTGTTTCCTGTCTCTTGTCAGCTGTGCTATACAAAACCGCCCAAAAATAAAACTTAAAAACAACAAAAACATGGAACTGGGCAAAGTCCAAGTGAAGAAAGAAAAGGTTCTGGGAAATTATGAATGTATTGAGTTAATCTAACTGATTGTATTTGATTGTTTCTATATTTTTGATCTATTTCTTGTTTTGTGAAAGAAAGAGAAAACAACAGGTTAGCCATCTTATTCTGTTAAACAGTATCTTGTGTTATTAGGAAAGGGGCAGTATTAAAAGTTTTTTTCTTCCTGCTCCTATTTGCTCATGAACAGTGTTTCAGCATTATGAGTAAATATTTTTTGTTGTGTGTTTTGTTGTGAGCAAATAAATAAATCAAATCAAATCAAAAAAAAAAAAAAGAACCTGTGAGAGCAAAGACGAACCAGCAGTGGGCTGTAAGAAAGTCGCAGTTATATGTTTTACTTTCCTTTCATAAAACCATGAAACTTTGTATACTTGTCAAATTTGGGGAATCAAGCCATTTTCCGACATGGATCCAGGCTAATGGTGGCCATTTTATCTAATGATCATATCTCCTAGAATCCACATGAGATTACAGAAAAGATGGTGTCTACCTTCATGTTTGCATGGTCAGTGATTACAATGGTTCAACCTAATGAAATGTTTCAGTGAGTAGTTCATGGCAAAATAAGAGACTGTGTGAGAACTGAATCCCATTCTCTGAGAACGAGGGCTAGAATCTGGAATATTCTGTCAGAAACAACACATGGGAAACCAATTGGGACCTTGGATCCTGAATCCTCTCATTTGTAACTTACTAAGGTTACACTCTCACTCTCTCTCTACCTCAGAGACTAATAATAAGGGTTAGGGTTAATAATAATTAACCCTAACCCTTTTTTTGCCCAGAAACACTTTGAAATGCGGACTGAAGGTGCGGAGGATCCAACTGCTGATTTTAAGATTAGTGGAGGATTAGTAGCAACATCTTGAGGTAACATCTCTAATCTACACACCTTCAAGCAGCTGTCAAAGGGAGTGCTGTACAGATACTGAGCATCAGTGACGAGTATCTTCTCTATTGAAACGTTTTGTTCAGTTGGTGACACTGGTGATGTCATGAGTTTGTAAATCAATGGGAGTAATTTGTGACTGTGGCATCTCTTAAGATGAACACCTGCTGCACAAAGTGGTTTACCAGGGAGGACAGTGTTGCACCATATATGCCTTTTCCATGGATTCAAGACATTTGAAACCATTTAACTTAACGCTTTCAGTTAATGTGATTTGCATAATTAGATGGACATAAGCTGACACAAGCATACCAAGTTTCACACTTATATGAAAAAGTAAACGTGAGTTTCACACATCAGCTAGACGTTGTAGGAACATACGAGCATGGGAGGGGGTCACCATGTGGAACTAATGGTGAATGTGATCGCCTCAATGATCACAAACTTTAAGCACTGTAAATGTCTATAAAGTAACCTGAAAACACTGTCACCACATGATGGTTAGAAGTAAAAAATATGTCAAGGAAATCGCTGGACCAAGCAGCTGAAGAAGATCCTTTATGTATCTACTAAGATCTAACTTTAGTCACTCATTCATGACCAATACATTATGTGTAAGGGCAGCGAGCATGTTAGAGAACATCTCATAATAAATAAACCACTGAATCCTGACCTGCCATCAGCGTGTTGAAGGTGACTGTAGCGCTTCTGTGTTCACGTCGCTCCACAGGTAGCTCCCATGGCGTGCGGTGCGGCCGCGCCTCCACTTTGACTGTGTACTGCAGGCTCGGCAAGAGGTTATTGAGGCACAGCGAGTAGCAGCCAGCCTTCACCAGCTCACACTCCTCCTCATTCAAGGACACAATGTGCACATAGTTACTGTTACTGGGCAGCCAGGTCAGGTTGGCAGAGGTGGCAGTTATCCTTTCCACACGCAACTGCGTGGGCGCCACACAAACGTCCCGACCCACCAGCATGCTGCAGCGCAGCTGGTCTGAGAGGCCCTTCTCCGTCAGGCTCTGCACTGACACACGGTAGGCCTTGAGGTTTATGTCCAGCCGCTCAAGCACTGCTTTGGTCTGGGAACCGAAGGGCACATTGAGCCTCAACTCCTGGTCCACATACACATTATAGCTCCACACATTGCCCCACCCAGCCGGCACCAGCGGAGGGTCCCAGCCAATGATGATGCTCTTGGCAAGCTGCTTTATGAGGGTGAGTTTTCGTGGGTAAGGCACAACGTCCACTCCCACCTCCTCCAAATCCAAGTCCAGGCCGTTAGTGAGGGGGGCTGGGACAGCCAAGGCCGATGCTGAGTCTGAGGGGGCTGAGGCAGGGCCAGAGGGAGTATGGGCCTCTGTTCTTCCTGAGGCGCTGACGCCCAGGTGGAGGTGATGCTGGTGGCTGGCACTGTGCAGGCTGCTGTCTAGCAGGGAGTTGTGAGTAGCGTCTCCTGTCTCTGTGTGGTGGGCGCCGCTCATCACATCGTCGTCTGACACACGTTCCACAAAGTTAGAGGGGACCAGCCCTCTCCGACCGTCCATGAGCTCACCTGTAAGGGACACAAATGAAACAATGAATGCATTGTAAAGACATAAATATTAGATTATAGAGTCAACAAGTCAAACTTCAGACTCACCTTCATAGAAGCCATCATCGTCCATGTCTCCGTACACGTAGATGTATTCTCCAGCAGTGAGAGGAAGCTCCACTTCAGGGTTGTCATTGGGACCATCATATGGATTATAGCTGTTGAAAAGAAATACAACAGGAAGTTATCTTCCTCAGATATTAACAGTCAGCTGATGAACTGAGTTTACTTACCTGTATCTTGCGATGAAAACCTGAAGCTTTGCCGCTCCTCTGCTGGCTGTGTAAGGAGCTGGCGCCATGTCGATGTCCAGCTCCTCCACTTCACTGGCAGTGTCCACCTGAAAACACCAAGAGCAAAAAGTGAATCTCACAAGTCTTTAGCCCATCCTTACACTGCCTGTGTAAACTTAAAGCAACTTTAAAACTTGTGATCAAATGTGGTTATGAACACTTTAAAAGTCTGGACTGTGGGCTGTAAGTAGCGCTTGATTCCTGATCACAAAGTCGATCAAATCGAACTCAGTGTTGTAATTATTAGGAAAGGTATGGCCTCAAGAGTCCCCTCCTGTTTGTCCAGAAGTAGTTATATCGACTATGCATGAGTGTTCACATGTTGAGTGACTATCACAGATGCACTGATCCACTCTAGTGACTATCAGTGAGTCACAGTGGTGACTACAGGATCACCTTGATGTTTTCATTCATAGCTGTTCCACTAAATACAATGAAAGAGATTTATTTATAGCTCGCTTGGGAAAACCTTTTTAAGGATAATCACTTACAACTACTACTGTGTAACCTTCATAATCCACAGAGGTGAGTGGATTATCTCGCTAAATATGATTTAATTGAACAGTGTGCAGACTAGAGGGGGAGACCACCAACCTGTCTGCTGTGTGAGACCACACCCTGACTCTAAAAAAACATGGCGACAGACTTGTGTCCTGACTGAGCAGAGGAAGCGTTGGTTTATATTCAGCTACAGTGTGTACTCGCGTGTGATGACAGAGAGGTTAAGGAGGGCTTTTTAATCCATTAAATCCACACAATCAATGTGATCGTGCATGGCTGTCTTGGTAATCTTGATGAGCAATCTGCCTGCCTATGTGGATACAAAGAAAGCAGAAGAGCTGCAGGCAGGAGTTCCTGCACAGTGACATAAGCGGAGAGAACACAGAGAAGAAAGCAGCTTTTTTACAAACCTACAGCCAGGGTTTAAAGTTGACACAAATATGAAAATACACACAGTAAATGCAGGTAAAAGAAAAATAATTTCAAGAATGGCTGGAGGTTTTTAGTCGTACAGCAGCAGTCATTTAAATGTTTAAAGATGAAACTCAATTTAATACAGATTCCTCTTCACGATATTTAAAATCATGCAGATCTTCAGCTTACAGATCGACTACTTTTAGAAGGGATTACTTTTGTAGCCTGTCGTTGTGTCTGATTTGTACGGAGTAATTCACAGCACACAGGATGCAGAGCTGCTGTTTCTATTTTCTGATTAACGTTTCACGGAGAGTTGAATGCGAGGCTGCTGAAGGAAAGAAGAACACAGTCTTCACAGGGTTGGCTCAGCAAAGAAACTACAACCTACAGCTTTCATCTTCAAAATCTATTCTTTTTAACATTTGTAACTCTCTTATAACAGTCTCAAATCTGAGGAGGAGCATGTTGTTGCTCAATAAGTCCTTTTACGCCCTGGTGTGCAGACCTTCTTCCTTCTTTATGACTGTTCATGTTGGTTCCAGCATCCACTCAGTGGTGTGTGTGTGTCTTCTTTTGATTTCCTATCTGTACTATACTATCATTGGCAGCTTGAACAGAAGAAGAACTATCAATACAGCTTGTTTTTGTTTCACAGAGAGAGAGAGAGAGAGGGAGAGAGAGAGAGAGAGGGTATATGACATGCGCGAAAATAGCCACGGGTCGGATTTGAAACCGGGGCCGCTTGTCTGGAGGACCACAGCCTCTGCACATGGGGCGGGACCTAACCGCTAGGCCATCTACAACCCCAGTGGATACCATTTACATGTTTGGGGAGCTGGGTGGACTAGCGGTTAGTGTGCGCGCCCCAATGTGCAGAGGCTGAACTTCCCAATCATGGCGGGAAGCCTGGGTTATGGGTACAATCTGATGCTCCTTTCCCGCATGTCATTACAAACCTGGTTTTAGAAAGTTCATACAACAACGATAATCAGAGCTGTGTTGTAAAAGATGGTGGATTCGTTAGGTCATTAATATCAGTAATGTCTTTTACTTCATAATAATTTCTTCTACAATAAGTTAAGATTAAATTTAAATATGAGTAATACGACAGTGACACGATTAGCTCTCAGGGAAACACAACACACAACTCCTGAAAACAGGAAGTTTCGTCTGAAGATTTTGTCATCGTTTTTTTTCTTTTTAGCTTTTTAAAGTTGGTAATGTTTCATGTCTGAGTGTCTGTGTCAGAATATCACGAGGCAGAAGGAGATGTTTGAAAGTGATTCATTTCAATTGTTTAGAAATGAGTAACTAAATAAACCACTTGTAAAACGTGGATGAAAATATTTTAAATGTATAATAAAACTCATTTCTGATGCTGTTTGGATGCCTAGTACAGTATAATGAAAAAAAATATAAAATTATAATGTTGGAGGATGTTGTGGATTTATTTTGTACCTCGTGCGTTGGGCTTGATTTGTGCGGGCTGAGATGGGTGTCAGACTTGGGGGTGAGGTGTGTGGTCTCTGACTTGCTGGAGGTGGAGCCTGACTTGCTAACGCTGATGGTGGGCAGCTCTCTGTGCTTGGTGACGGGCGAGCGCTCCACCCTGGACAGCCCTGCAGCATGGGGGGTGGCCCCCATCCGCAGTGCAGCTGCCACATCTAGCAGGAGAGAGAGAGAGAGAGAGAGAGAGAGAGAGAGAGAGAGGGGAAGAGGATAAATACATAATCCAAGACTTTTACACACAACCCTGGCCCCTCTCAGTGGTTAACCTGGAGCAAACCATGAGCAGCTAGGTGGGTGAGGTCACCGGTTGATATGCAGGAGGCGGCTCAAGGTTGACCCTGGCTGATTAAACAGTGGAGGAAAAATCCTTTCTCCATCTGTCTGAGGTCAGAGGTCACAACACCTTGTGTCACACCAGCACTGTTAAGGGGCTTAACTGGTTCATTTCTCACTGCAGCCCACGAGCTGCGGCTCTCAAGAGTGTTTTAGAAAAGCTCTGTTTTAGAAAAGCTCCGTTAACGTGCTGAACTGTGACGGTGAGATGATGTGTGAGAACATGCCATGCTGACTGTGACAGTGCCCACAACCACAGAGACAGAACCGAGCGGATCATTACCCTCAGGGCAGGAGAGAGTGTCACCTCCCTCGAGACTCCAGAAAGCTATTTCACCCAGGGACACCATGTCCCATGGGCCCTCAGTGCAGTCTAAAAACACATGAACAGCATAGAAGAAACAGAGAGAGAAAGCTGGAGAAGCTACATTTGGACTGTTGGAAGCAGAATGAAAGGTTAAGGCCCTGTGTCCACCTAGCGTTTTATTCTGAACACCAGCGTCTTTTTTCTAGGATTTTCATTTTGATGAGGAGAGAGCGTTTGCAGCAGCAGGCACCCAGCGTCTTTTCTCCAGGGCTCTGCCTTTTTTGTGCAGCCGCTCCGAGCGCTCAAGTTTAAAATCTGTCAACTTTTCAGAAAGGTGCTGTTGACATCACCGGCGCTCTTTTGAAAATGTATGATATTCCCCGTATTTAGCCACCTACGGATCGTATCTTGTACCACATCCTCCTCGCTCCGTGTTGATGTCAAATATCAAACATGCAGTAAAAATTAACGGAGCAGTGTCGGTCATACAGCGGGTGTTGTCAACAGACTGTTGTCATAGAGACAGGATGGATGATTAGAACTTTTATTCTCAACACTTCATGCAACACTTCCAAGCGCACAGCCAGCGCCTTTCTGCCGGAAAAAAACACTAGGTAGACACGGGGCCTCAGAAGCATTATTTTGTCTGGAATCAAAGGAATGTATAACGCCTTTAATTAAAGCGTCAGTAAAGAAAGCCCACTTGGGAACTCGCAGCATTAAAACATAAAAGATCGAGCCTTGTATGTTTTACACAAAAGAAGACTTTTCCCAAGCGACGCAGTGATTCGTTCACAGGCTCCATTTAATGATGAGTTATAGAATCATGTTAGAACTGTGAAATATAAAAAGATGATAAAGTATGATTCTTGTTTTACCTTACATTCCATAATGTATAACTCAATAAAGCTGGAATACAACCTGTGCTTCTCTTCTTAGGGTCATTAAGAGCCGACACTAAGATAATTAGCATTTTGTTAATTCGCACTTAAAGGAAGGAGAGCATGACTTGATATTTTAAATACACACAAAACAAACATCAATTTATCCTAAAAGTTTGAAATATCCAGAGAAAAATATAAATTGACTACAATGTAAAACTGTAAAAATGTATCTGAAATGAAACTGAGACAGCCAATAGAATCCTCTCACGCTCAACCAAAAGCCATGGTCAAATTAAAACACTCTGGACTGTGCAGGCTTTTTTTTGGTGATTAAATCCACAACTTGGCGGCATGGCTCACCTCGTTCTGTAGTCAGGCCCACCCCATTGGTCAGAATAGAGATGCTGGGGTTGTTGAGGATGCTACAGCTGGCCAGGTCCACCTTCGATGCCTGCAGTCGAAACTTCTCCAGCTCTTGGGACAGCAGGCCAAACTGTTCGCTCTGACTGCGGCATTTCTCCTCCAGCTCGCGCACCTTTGACTACACAGCGTCACAGCCAGGGACAAGAACACACGTAAAAATATCTTAACAATATACAAAAATACATAAATAATCGTGTATATATATATATATATATATATATATATATATAATAAACATGAAAATCCCCCTTTTGAATACTTAATGTCACTCTTCAGCCATAAGGAGCTATTTATTCCTGTTCGAGGTGCAATGGCCGACTCATGTAACGTTACACTGCTCAATATTTGCCTCACCTTATATTCCACTTCACCTGCTTGTGTGGTATTTTGTCCAGAGTTGAGCACAGGGTGCATAAGTGGACAGGTTCAGTCAAATGAAGCGGTGCAGAGCAAGTTTTATTTTTAGTGTTTTTGGGGGAAAATGAGTCGTAGATGTTTAGTTTGGAACAGCGATGTATCAGAAGTTATCAGAACGGCTAAGTTTGCGTTCACATTAGTCTTCTCAGCAGTCTGCACCATCCAGACAAATAACTCACAAAGCTGATTGTTCACTCAGCAATGGCACAGATAATGTGACTCGCTGAGAGCATATTTATTCATCACCCCCCAACCACACATTTTAATAAGTATATTCATGGAGGGTGGGTAGCCTAGCCTAGCGGTTAGTGCGTGTGCGCGGAACGTGCAGCCCGGGTTTGAATGCGACCTGCATGTTGTTCCCCACTCTCCCTCTCTCCCTGATTTATGAGTCTATCCACTGTCCTATCTTTACAATAAAAATATCCTTTATAACTATATTAACCTCCCCTCGACCGGTTTGCACGTTTTGCTTCTGCATGTTTATGAACCACAACAAGAAGAGCTTTTTCAAGCTGCCTACACAGCGTCAGAGCCTTTGACCTGCACTTCTGTTTGCCTTATATAGTCATAGCCTAGTTTATAAAAGGTCCCTTAATGAAACAGTGTCATGCAGACACCACTTACAGCTACATGACCACTAACTAGGTAGCTATGGAAACTAATCACAGGTAAACACAAACTACATTTTAGGACTGACCCTACTTACATAACACATATTAAACAATGGAGAGTTACAACATGTTGTTAGGTTACTGAGAACAAGGCAAGATAAACTGTTAGCTCAAAACAAAAGAGTCCAACCTTCATAGGAAAGAAAAAATGAAGGGGAAATAGAGACAGGTAGTTTTCTGGTAAGGTGGGAAATAGGAGTAAGAACACGTCAAAAAAGGGAATCAGAGGTTATGAGAAGTTTCATGTCGGGCTTCTGTCTTACACTGCGTTCACTACACAGCAGCAGGGTTTATTTTCTGGAACACTACACAACTCTTGAGTTTCTATATGTGGCTTATTTCACTTCAGGTTGCGGTTTGGAGTTTCCTGGTAGGCCTCTGCACGAAACTGTGTGAACAACATTTCCTGTCAGCTCTCACCTCTGCAGAGCCGAAGTCTGCAGCCTGTCGTTATCTTGCCTCACTGAGCCGAGATGAAGACTCGTTAACAAAACAGCGTCCAGACTCGGCAATGAGTACAGTTTACAGTAATAAAGATTATATCTATCCAATCAAAGCCCTCGTGATAAGTGTGCTCGGTGCAGCTTGGAGTGAGTGAGTGTTAACTGGCCTTATGCAACTATATTTACTTACAAACATCTTTCAAGATCAATGTTTATACATGCATTAAACTTTAAAGTCACTCTGAACAATCCTGGTGAGCGCTGGATTACTCTGATCACATCACAAGTTATCTGTTCCTCATCTAGCTGCACAGGGTACCCATCGATCCTCGACTTATTTACACACGTGTGGGGAGAACCTACACAAATGCATCATACGGGTCTTTGTGGCTACATGTAGCATTTTGAAAGAGAGCAGGCCTGTTAGCCCTTCGTTCAGTGTAAGTATTTCTACATAACACGATTGGAGGATTTGAGTAAAGGCAGTTGGGTTTGGTGGTTCTATGTACAGGAGCTAGGGGGGGGTTTCATGACAGGAGCGTATATAGTTTGGAAAAGGAGATCTGGCAGGCTAGGTTAACAGTACCTGCATGCAGTCCAGTGTACTCTGGTTAGCAAAAAGAATAACACAAAAAAAGATAACCAAGGTAAACACATGCTTGAGATAGAGTGGATCTGGGAAAAGAAAGAACATTAGATATAAAAATAGAAACACAGCAATCGAGAGTTAGCTCTGTGAGAGGAATCAGGTAGGAATCAGTATCAGCACAGTGAGTGGTGGGCCCCTGCAACACCTGCTTCATGACTGCTCAATCATTATGATTTATTTTTAACAGATTGTGAAATTGTTGACCTGGTGCCAAAGTCCAGATTCCCAGGAGGGGGGGAGAGAGAGAGAGAGAGAGAGACTTTCTCCTCATGTTTAAATAGAGACAGAAAGCGAGAGAAGCAAACCAACAGAGAGGAAACGAGCAGTCTTTAAAAAAACAGGAGCGACTATACTCTACCAGCTCCCTCCGCAACACAAGCTCAGTCAACTCCTAAAATAAAAGGCAAACTTCATTTAAGGTGAATGACATTACAGCGCGTAACGCGTAGACACAGACAGAACACGTTCATATAAAGTCATCAAGTGTGGATTATGACATGTTTGAGGTCTCCCCCCCATTTAAAATCAGCAGCCAATCAGGAAGTAGGAGATCTAAACGACTGCCTTGGGTTCTTTTGAATTCAAAGTGTGTAACGCTCACACTGAGAACAAGTGAAAAGGTTACACATCAGCAGAGACGCCATCTGTTCAAACGGTTTTCACGGCCCATGAGTGCTTTGCAACGTATTTTCTCCTGCAGTGTCTCTGTCAGGTGTTTGGATACGAGTTAAGAGGCCTTTGTTCTGTTCGAGCATGCTGCTGCAGTGTCAATGGGACCTCCTTTGTCTGCTTAGCACAGGATGATAATAAACTAAATCTTAAGGAGATTCATGAATAATTAACTACTCTGTTCTGTAATCTGGTCGAACATGGAGTCAGTTGGCAGTCGGACACACACTCCTCTCTCTGACGTTTGGGCCGAGTGTACTGATTTCTTCTCTCTTATGTGTTTGTAATAAAATCATCATGAATTCCTGAAAGCCCCTCAGAGAGTAAAAGTAGAATACTCATGAACTTGTTTCCTTCCTCTTTAGTCACAGTGTTTTATTACACACTCACCTCAAGCATCTGAACCACTCCCTCATGCTCCCGCTTGGCAAATAACTGAGCCTGGTGATAAATAAATACATTAACGTTAGTGTAACATTGGCTGTTCATTCATATGAGTCTAATTCATGATGCAGGACGCTCTGTTTAATTCAAAAGCTTAATTGGTGCTGAAAGGATGCCTCCTGCTGGACAAAACCCCAAATATCCCCAAATCAGTCTAAAAGCAGCCTCAGACACATGAGGGTTGGAACAATAAATAAATCTTGTGTGTGTGTGTAGAACAGAAGAGGTCATTACCCGCTGTAAGCGTTTGATCTCATCCTGTTTGAACTTAAGGATAGCCAGTGCCTGCTCATGTTCCAATTCCAACTGCTGCCTTCGCTCAGCGACCTCACGCATATGCTGTGACAAAGGATTTATATTTGTTCAATCACAAAACAAAACAAAGTGACATCTACAACAACACACACGCAGAATTTTTGACACAAGCAGCACCTTTAGGACCTGCTCTAGGTTCTCCAGTTTGGCACGGAGTCTCTGGTTCTCCTCGAGAACTGAATTGTGTTGAGCGGTCACTTCAGAGAGATCTTCCCTCAGCTCCTCATTCTCAGCCCGAGTCTGAAACGTGACAGCAAGTTCTCTCATTTAGTGAGTTTGAATCATTATCTTTGTAACGTGGACATCTTGTTCTATAACTCTCTGGTCTTTCTTGACAAACTGGGCTCATTTCTAAAAACTTTGGACAAGCAGGAGGAACTGACCTGGTCGATCAGCAGTGCCTTCCTCCTGAGGAGATCTGCCTCCTCCTTCAGTTGCTCATTTTTGCTTCGCTCATCCTCAAGCTGGCTCTCCTGTAACCAAAGCACAAGGTGACATTCAGGTAAAGACTCAGGAAAAAGTCCACTATTCTCATGTTGAATGCAGACTGGAGCACAACGAGAGAGAGAGAGAGAGTGTGTGAGAAGGAAACACTGGAGGAAGAGGAGTTCTTACCAAATCCAGACATCTCTTCTGACGCTTCTTTACTTCATGCTCGAGGTTTTCACATTCTTTTCTCTTCTTACTCAGCTCACTTTCCTGAACAAACATGAACACAATGAGAAGACAGTCTCACTTCATCCTTATTTTCAGTTCTATTATGACTAAATTTACTGCATCTTAAAAAGCAGGTTAAACTGTTATACATAAAGGAACAACATCAGAAACACAGACAGACACTCCACAGCTCGAATGAAAGGAAGGCTGAAACAGTTCAGACACATCACACAAAGACACATCGAGTGCTGTGCAGAACGTAAGATGAATAATTATAATGAATATCATGAATGACAAGTGATGTGTGTTTACATTTAGCAATGCTGAGCACACCGGCTCTAGTTCTGTATTGACCTCCGACATCACAGCAATGAGGTATTGCAAGCTTAGCAGCCTTTAATTATTCTAAATGCAGCTTACATACAGGAGCAGCATCGGAGAAATCAGCTTATTTCAGCATGGCCTCTGGGCCTCAATCAAGTATTACCACTGTGAGCGTGTGGGGGAGGCTGCAGGACACGCAGGCTAATTGTCGACCACCAGCAGCTGACTGGAGGAAAGAGACAGAACTCTCTGCGCTGATCGCTCAGCCAGACAATAACCATAATTAAACTGCAATCTGTGTGCTGTGCTGCTGATTTGCTTGATTGTTTATCAGTCATGGCACTAAAGAGCTGGGATTGAGCTCTCTTTATCGGGGGATGATTCTTTGTTGCTCCGTGACAGTCCTGACTGTGACGCTAACCTTTAAAGACATTTGATCTCATTAGAACAGAAATGAATTCACAGCTGTTTCACAATAAAAGAAGAAACTTTTTACTGAACATCTGATTAGTTCCTCTTCATTTTCTGTTTCCTATGAAGTCCCCACAAGTTGCTTTGCGTTTGTTATTGTTGTCCTAACCACACACAATAGCACTGGACTGGGACTTTTTTAAAGTTTCTCAGATAAACATTTGGCAGATGGGCCTGCAGCGGATGAAAAAAAATCTGCGATAACATTGTGCAAAATTGCGATAAACAGTGGTGTAGTGGTGCCTAAAGAAGTGGGCATACTCTTAATCTTTCCCCATAATCGTTTTTTTAAGTGTCCGGTCCAGCAGAGGATAAACTGCCTCTGATATAAATGTGACATGTAAGCTAACATTACACTACTCTGCATATTTAGTCAGAGTGCAGGCCGAGTGGCCAATTACAGGCAGGAAGGCACATGGGAGGGTCACCCCTTCACCATCCTAACCCTAACCCTAACCCTAACCCTAAATAATTAAAGCATCCCACTGAATATTGTCAACCAATCATTGGTGTGAATCAGATATTTAGAGGTTGGTATACCCTGGCCTGCACTACACCACTGGTGTAAATAAAGAAAATAAAGAGTGCGTATTAGCTTTACCTCACAGTTTCTATTTCTATCTAATGCCTGTGTTTGCAACATGTCTCAACATATCCTCAAACTGTTTTTATTCTCCTCTAAATTGTCACTAACCTGAGAGAGAGTCACTGATAGTTAGCTGTAGCTTCATACGACTACATTGAAAAGGTATGGCAGCATGTTCATGACACACGTTCATGATAAATATAAACATGCCGAGAGAGAAGGCGTTGTTTTTTTTATTAATCGTGATAAATTCAGACTGTTGCGATGTGTTTAATGTGAATGCTCATATAGTGATAGGGTTAAAAATGGTTATAATTATGTGTCTATTCAAAGTCTTTTCACCTCTGGTGCACTTTGTTTTACTGTAACTCAATGAAGCCTCCTCCATGAAAGGTTCTTTTCTGCATGTTCCCCTTCTAATCTAAATATATGATGCTCAGATAATTAAATGAAGTTCCTCCACATTCAGACTTTACTTCATTTGACCTTTTGCTTTGACCTTTTGTAGACTACTCTCCGTTTTGTCTGACTGTTGATGCTCTTTCTGTTATATTCCTGAGTTCCTGCCTTTGCTATGAAATAATTATAGAAAATTCCACATTCATTGACACACAGCAGAACCCTCACTCATGTAAGCGACATACTCACTCATTGCCTTTATCAGTTTTGTGCAGATCTAATCAGGATTTTGGTAAAAAAAAGAAAAAGCTGTGAGTGCAAAAATGATGCATTTGAGCACACCATGTGAGGGCAGTTTGAAAACAGAACGTCATAGCAGCACATCAAATTCAAAGATCAACATCTGCACGTTAAAACAGCTGAAATATCGGCTTCTTAGTGTGAGCACTGGGAGAGGAGTGGATACAAGCCGTGAAAATGTGCATGCACGGTGGAGGGCGGAGAGACATGCAGCTTTTTACTGTTACTATATAAAATCTAATGGATGTACGATGTCAGTGCTCTAACATAGAAAAAAAGCAACATCACTTAATGTGTCCAATCTCCACTTTTCATCCTGAAAGAGCTGAGAGGGAATGTGGCCTATGTAAGCCATGAGACCCTCTTGTAGAATCAGAGAGGGCAATATACTCTCCTGTTTCCAAGGGACCAGATCAAAATAATCCCAGCATTACATAACAAATCTGACCATAGTTTTTCCTTCAGTGGCAGGCAGCTCAAGCACAGCACAGCAGCACTGAATTAGAGCTTCAGTTTCACATGTAAACGCAGAGTGGAGAGCAAATGTTTGCAGGTGTTGTTCCTCTTCTTTACTTACTGAACCATTTTTGTGTCTTTGCTATCTTAAACAGAATCCAGTGCTTAAATTATACATCAAAAATAAAAGAATAGCATGTTAGCACTCAGTAAACGATGTGAGGTATCCGCTAAGTGTGGTAATGTCCGACGCTCTCACCAGAAACTGTAGGTGATGCTCCTCTGTGTGGTCCTCCTGATGGGAGGGGGTCGGGCTGAGGCCCGGTTGGGGCGTCACTTGCAGCCCCGACTCCTCCTCCTCGCCGGGAGTCCTCTCACACCTGGATGGAGCTTCATCTAACACCACACACGGGGTCTCTCCTGCAACCTGAACAGGACATGCACTCTCAGTCACATTCACAGAGATAATCTTCAACAGTTAAGATCTAAGGTAAGCACAGAAAAGCTCCGGTTCTTATGCTAAAAATGTGGAAAGCTGATTGTATGTGAGATTGTAATACTGCACAGTAATACTGAGAATCACCCCCCAACCCCTCCCACTGTGAGGGAGAGATTAGCAGCAAGCCTTCTTCCCAGTGGTCCCACTATAATCAATGAATAGGGGGAGGGGAGTCCCTCCAGCAACACATAAGCAGCCGACTTCTGTTCTCTTAATTAGGTTGAAGGATAAAGACCTAAATGTTTGTGTTGCTTTTCATAAGCGATAACTACAGTACATTCATTATTATTTCTTTATAAATGGTATGATTGGTCCACCTCAGACCCAGGTGGGGGGGCAGGCTGACATTGGTTCAGGGTTAAGAGTCGGGAATCAGGATCTAATTTTAGAGCAAACCTACTTATGCTCAGAGTAAAACTGTGCTAGTGCAGCCAAGGCCATGACCCAGTAACAGGATCAAGGGCGCTCTGCCACGAGCTGCAAAGGGGATCTCTCCTTTACCTTTTTCTAATTGTTAGTCACTGAAAGGTGTATCCCACAAGGAACAGGAACACTGTGAGGAAACACCTCCCACAGGGAGGAAATGATCGATATACTTTCTACAAAAATCTTTATAGGAACGATCAAACCAACGCAAGAGTTAAAAGTGGAAGAGGTGAAGGAAACACTGTTTTTTTTATGTTCTTCCTTATAAGGAAGATCAAATTTTCCGTTAGATTTACACATCACAGAATAAAAAAACGAGTCTGTCACAGAGGAAATGAACTTCAACGCATCTTACAAATGACTTTTACAGAAACAAACAGGGTTAAAAAAAGGTCTTAAAAATGTTTTTTATAGGGTGAGTGTCGTCATTAAAGAGTCAATTGAGGGGAACTTTGAACCCAAAGAAAGGTCTGGTCCTGAAGGTTTTCTTTTCAAAGTGGGTTCAGAGCCTCGGCACAATTTTACTACCAGTTAGGAACTGAAGCTTGATATGACCCGATATTAAAAAAAGGCTTGTTTTCCCAGTCATTTCAAGTCGTCTGTATAACTTGTACTAGCAGTTTGAAAACCCTGTGAAAGTTTCCTGGCGTGGATCCATCCATTGGTTTGATTGCTTTCCTTACAGGGGGTCACTGAGGGCCAGAGCCGATCCAAGCTGACATGCAGGGGCTTAAAACCTGGAGGCTTGTCTCTTTTCACACGTGAAACTCCTCGCAGCAGGTGTGTTAGTTACCAAGACTCTGTGTGTTCAAGCAATTTGGTGGATACGATAGACCTGGGTTGTGACAGTTTGGCAGCGGCTCAGCGGCCTGTCTGTGGAGTTAGGTGAGGCTGTCCCTGGTTTATCTTTTGGACAGGAGACCATATGGTGTTAGTAGTGGTGACGAAAGGCCGGCAGGAGGCACTAATTCCATTGGCCCCTTTACAAAAAACACAGTGCACAGGAATGAGAGCTCTGGACAAGCGCTGTGCTGATTTTCTCTTCCTGGTGGTCATCCTGTCAAATCCATCACAAGCTAAGTCGTGCCAGGTGAGTTACACTTCCTGGCAAACTGCCCACGATTGTATTCGTCTGGTCACAGTTAAATCAGTCGGCCTCCCTGTGACTCTTCATTAGTCTGTAACACTTCATACCCATTGAGTGGGTCGGCTTAAGCGAGTGGAGTTTGCAGCTACAATCTGGCAGCCGTGAGACAGAAGAGTGTCACATTCAGAAAGTAGTGGAAAAACCTTCGTCTTTCTTCTACAGCATTTACAATCTCTGCATTTAATAATCTTCACAGACACACCTGCCTGGCATCGAGAGTTGATGTTTGAGCCAAGAAATAAAAAAATAATACTCATAATGACTTGATTTGTCTTGCACCTTTGCAGCACAAATAGAGACGCAATAAAAACTAATCTACGAGGATGTGGAGGAAAATGCATGGTTCCTGGTTTGAAACCCCGTCTGACAGGAGCCTCTCTGTGTGGAGTCTGCATGTTCTCCCTGTGTATGTGTGGGTTCTCTCCGGGTACTCTGGCTTCCTCCCACAGTCCAAAGACATGCTCGTTAGGTTAACTGGTGACTCTAAATTGTCCATAGGTGTGAATGTGAGTGTGGCTGGTTGTCTCTCTCTAGATGTCAGCCCTGTGATTGACTGACGAACAGTTAAGGGTGTAGCCCGCCTCTTGCCCAATGACAACTGGAATCGGCTCCAGCTCCCTCCCCCCTTCCCCCCTGTGAGCACGAACATGAAAAAGGGTAAAGATAATGGATGGATGGAGGAGGAAAGCGGGTGCAGACTTCCTGATATCTAAAGGGAGTATTTTAGAGTAGAATAGAATAGACGTGTATTTCCATTTGCACAGGTACAAAGTAGAGCAGTAGCATTGGATTTTGTGTGCTTTAACACTTGAGTCGTCTTCATGGACGTTTTTTTTAATACATTTTCAGTTTACTGCTGGTACCTGATGAACTCTAGTGCTTCTGTATTTAATGTTGTTTCTACTGTCTGAGTCTATGTGCCTGTATCTGTATGTGTTTCTTGTTTTCACCTGGTTTGACCCTCTGACCCGCTATAAACGTTCATGTGTGCCGGCGTCCTTCAACATTCTGAATGAGAGGTGATGTAGGATGATGTGCCAAAGGGGCTGTGCAATATGTCATCATGTGACCGCTGCAGGAAAGTAGCAATCACTAACAACAATGCTAGCAGTTTAGTTTAGTCTCAGGTCTGTTCATGGAGTGTAATATTTGACCGAATACGACTCGCTTTCATTTTTCTATGCCCCCAAAGAGGCTGATTACAAACCAGGCTGCTGTGAACTATAACATGGTAAACATTACTACGGTCATATTCATCCAACGGTGGAACTGTGTTAAATATCATCCTCATAGTGAAAAATCTGAGCCCAAGCAGGGCACAGTTCAGAGGTCTTTGGTGTGATGTGATTGGCTGCAGCAGGACTGTAGCTGCGAGACACCTGCCACTGGCTTGTTGAAACCACATTTTGAATTCAGCGCTCGAGTTTGCAGGAAAAACTGAAGCTAACAAACTTTAATCTGGAAGCAAAGGGGACGTGAAGTAGATTGAAGTATTTATTTACTAACAGCTGTTACACCTAAAAGTTCAAGGTTCAAGGTTCAAAGTTCAAGGTAAACTTTATGGTTACTTTAAGTAACAAACAATAGAACTTGATGTAATTATCCTTTTATTCATCTGTAACCAAGGAAGGGTGAAGAGATGAGCTGGGTTCGAGAGAGAGTAACGGTACCTATTGCAACGCCTTGGCAGGAATCCATTATACACATGTACACACAGTAACAGACAGTATCTCTTGATACTGTGGTTGGGAGCTACTTTTAGCCTTTCATTTAAAAGTGCTGTGTAGCTGATGGACCCTCAGTGATTCCCCCATTAGGCCCCCTCTCTGTTGACGATGAATAACCCCAGGTTGGACCAATGTGCTCTCTGCTCTTGGCTCTTAACGGTCGAGCTGCAGAGCTGAAGTATCTCTGTATTTTTCTTTCCCGGTTCGGCTGTTAAAAAGTGCATTTCAGTGATCGAGTAGACTTTAAAAAAAGGCAGAAAAGCATTCATTTAGTTTTGGAATGGTCGTCCTTAAAGTGTGTTTATGAGGTGAAAATTTTTCGTTTTCTCTTCCTTATTTATGTTGTATGTACAAGTTTACAGTAGTTTTATGAATCACTTCAAAGGTTCATGTGCCAACAAAGCAAACTTAAAAAACTCTGTTCAGATCAACCAGTAAAGGAAAAAAAATTCTGCTGATGGAGTCCTACAGCCAAATGTAATTTTCAATACTTTTGATACAATGGGCTTTTTGTCACACATGCTGATACTGAAGCTGGGTTAGAGGTGCTATAGTTAGTAACAGCTTTAATGGTCCCATATTCTCTTCACCATGTTTCTCTAACTCTAATATGTGTCTCTAGTCTGTCTACAAATCCCCCAATTATAAGAAAAGTCCATCCTCTCTGTCTTTTGCCTGCTCCACTTTTCAGAAAATATGTGCTCAAACAGGCCGTTTGAAGATTTTCCCTTCATGACATCACAAAGGGCAGTAACCCCTCTCCCAGGTGGGTGATACTCCCACACTAGGTGTTTGTTCTGCCCTCTGAGTCTGCCTTCTCACCGTAAACAATAGGGCATGGAACGAGAAAGACAGAGACACCCAAGCCCTTCCAGAGAGGGGGCGTGGTCAGACACAGCTCATTTACATTTAAAGGTACAGACACATAAACAGTCTGTTCTGAGAGGGCTGAAATAGAGGGGTTTATAGACATGATCAAATACAGGATCAGAGTGGATTTAGAACAAGAAACTTCACACACATGTTTTTAGGAGCTCTGAGAATTATTTAAACTGGTTGAAGAGGAGGAGGATATGTGAACTTTAGATCTAAAGTTTCAGTCACTTCAGCGATCTGTAGAGATGATCATAAAGGTATTTGATGTTTATCAGTTGAGTCCTTTTCTGTACATCATGTAACAGCACGCGGTCAGTGGATAATTAGGAGATATAACTTTGAGATATTATAATTACTCATACTGCCAGGATTCATGTGCAGGCCTTGTTGAGCTAATGAACAAAAACAAAGATTCAAAGAGTGAGCAAAGAGAAATGTGAGTGCAAATACGATGCCAACATGTTTTCTCCATTTATCATACTTTCGTTCCCAATGTTGAGGCCAAAGAGGTCAAATTAGACCATCAATGACAATGATTTGGTTTGCTGAAGTTGGCTGCAACTCTGATTCAACATATGCTGACTCTAAAATTAAAATTAAAATTAAATAATAATTCAATTGATGACTCAGCTAACAGTCATTAATAATCTACAGATAAAGGCTAAAGAAGGAGCTGGGATCAGATACCAAACACAACACTTCCGGACTTAAACATAGACACAGCACTCTGAAGAGGGTTTACATTAACTCAGAGAATATTAATCTGCAAAGGAACATATTTTAAACAAGTTCTATTGAAGGTTAAATGAGTGAAAATGGGCTTTAACATCGAGCACCTGCTTATCATGTATGACTCAATAGTTCTAAGTTTGGCTAAGTATAAACGCATAACAACAATAACAGACATTTATGTTTGGAGGAACGGTTCACGTTTACTGAATGCTTCAATGTTCAGTTAAATCTCACAGACTGCAGATGATGGTCAGAGATCTCTGCAGCTACAAACTTCAGAAACACTTGTTCCTGTTGTGTCTCCACTCCAAAACTTAAAAAAAAATTAGATGTTCAAATAGACGTCATGATTAGAACCTTCTGTTCTCAGAGCTGAAATCTTTTCTCCGTTATATTGGTGCTTACTCTCAGAATCAGCAGAATGATTTCACTCATTGTTGGTTTCTTAGAATATTCATGAAAACATAGTAATGATAATAGTTCTTCTTATTATAAAGCTAACACTGAAATCCTACAGGACGGTCAGAGAGGGTTGTGAATGATGGCTGTTGATAGAGCAGCCATGTCAAGAGATCTATCGTCATGTCGAGGCGGCGTCAGCAGCTGCTGAACGTGTTGGTCTTTCGATGACGTTCTAGCTTTCAGGCTCACCTCTGCTCTACTCACATCTAATGTGTACGCTTCAAAGCGGTGTGGTCAACGTATACTAAAGGATCACGTACACCTTGGGCCCATGCGTACTAAAGCAGGTTCAGTTCTCATTCAGCGGGGCCCTGGATGCCATAAGCACATTGGTGTAATCCCTGCAGACTACCGAAACGGGTAACTGGATCACTTCTTTTAAAAGCACCTTAATGGATTGGCCTGGCCGTTGATTTTCCCTTTTTAATACGGAGCATATCGATGTCCACCAATCAAACGCTGTGCCACCCTGCTCCTAAATCTGTCGCTCTAAAATCTGGATGCTCCAAAATATGACCGTTATAAAACCCTGTTTCTGACAGGTTGCCCTTGACTAGGCCTCATGCACGTCCCGTCTTTCAAATGTGTAAGAAAAGTGGCAGTCCAACCGAAGCTAGCGCCAGATTTTATCACCGGATTTACTGAAATGAATATTACAAAATAACTGCTAAGAGAAATATCCCCCTGAGCTGTGTCGCTAAACTAACATGCAGAATGTAAGATAGAAATAATCTTTTAAATAAGCTGCTGGATTTACAATCTAACGCTCGTGCAACACTCACAAATTCCCTCACACTCCCGATTTGTCATGACACTGATTAGTTTTCGCAGTGTTAAGTCTTAACTTTGGGTCCTGCATGGCTTCAGTGTCACAGCCAAGCAGACGGGAGGTTAACCAAGGAGACCTGCAAGGACCACTGACACCTCTACACACACACACAGTCAACAATATCAGAAGACCACCTACCCCTTTGGTGTGATTTGTGGTAACGTCAAGGCGTCCTCTGGCCTGCTAGTTATCCAGAGCAGGGCGAGATAGAAAAGTCTTTAGTGCGGCTGGAGTCTTACCTACCACCCAAAACCCTCTCACCGCTGCCACAGCAACAGAGAGCGGATTACTGGACTGTACCATTCTGTTGTTAGAGGGGATTAGAGTTCACACAACATGGCCCCTTTCTGGGTTTGCGCGTGTCACTGGCAGTGCGTGTGTGCGTCCCACAAACGAGAGATTACCACAATCGGCATTCTCATTTGTGCTCCACAGGCAGAACATCATAAATATGATGTATGCCTTTCTTCATGTGAACTCCTATTTAATATATTTAAGATGCACACCACATACATGACATTTTTCCTCTTTAGTAAAAGTTCAGTGGTTTAGTCTTCATCTTTTTCTCCTCTTTATTTTATTATCTATTTATATACGTTGAATTTGTGCTATTTTGGGGTCATTGTTACTTTTTTGGCCGGTGTAGGACATGTCAGAGCATCACTTTCTGGGTGAAGAACTTCCTCCAAGAACTCAATAAAAGAGACGGGATCAGTATAAAACACAGAGAGAGGATCAGATGGTGTGTGTGACTCCGGCATCTTTGATCAGGCCCAAGTTCAAGACTGGGAATCACTCATTATGGCTTGTGGCAGATTAGTATCGGGTCCAACGACAAGCGATTATATAACGGTGCAAAACAGCATTCATGCCAACATAAACACACAGCGTATTAGAAAAACTGAGTGGGCTGAACTCACATCCCAAACTGTAATATATGGTAAACTTTCCTGTGGTACCAGCTCCTCCTACAGTCCTCCTACAGTCCTCTTAACCTCCTTTTAGTAACAAACTTAACGTTAAATAACCTGAAAGTATCACACTCGGTTATTTTATATTAAATGCATCACTTTGTTCTTTAAATCATCCAAGTAAAAATGATCCTGCCTGCACTGTAAACATAATGAAATGTCACCTCTTTGTTATTGCTGCTTTAATATCCTGCACAGTTGACTTGCTGTTATAAGCAGTGCAATAACATCAACACGGTAAGAGTCACTTGTCACCCACAGGGGGCAGTGCAGAGTTGAGCTGTGCTCTGATATGAGGGAGTGAACTAACCTGTGCTTCAACCTCTTTCTTCTCTTCCCCCTCCAACTCTTCCTCCTTAATGTCATCACTCCTCTCTGGTCCACCGGGGTCAGGAGGACTTTGGTTGTTCTGCTGTGTGGTTGAGGTGACGGACAACTGTCTCTGGAGCCGCAGCACCTCCCTCTGAGATTCCCTCAGAAGCCTCTCGAATTCCTCCCTGCAAGCTGAAACAGGGGAGCCCTAAAAGGACACATGGGATAGGACAGTAACACCTTCAATTCAGTACAGTATTCATTTCACTCACTTTATTTACTTAAAGTAGTAGAGCAAAGGATTAGAGACAAATGAGAGCAGAAAACAGAAAAAATAAGAGTTTTTTGTTTGTCTATAATTTGAGAATAAAGTCGGACTTTCAGTTTGAATGTAAAGCAAAATTAAATTATTGTAGAATCAATTCTTTGACTTTCATTTAAACACATTTTCAATCACATGGCTGACACTTGCACTTATGAGTGGTACAGTATCTGATATGTTCTCTGGGGTCACACCAAAAATATCAATAAGGAGGCAAAGAGAAATGTTTAAAAAATATACATACTGTATATTATAGACACATACAGTACACATGTTGTCCAGCAGAGGGGGAGCTTGAGGCGTTGTGAGAGAGGCAGGGATGATGATGGAGCATTGGGGCTTAAACTTGGTGGATAAGTGAAGATCAGAGTTATGTTAAAAACATCATTGGTCTATGAGAAATCTGCCCCCCGGTACGGCCGAAATCAGTGTCTACAGATGAAAGCAGGCTGAGTAAACTTTACCTTCGTGGTGCCGAGCCCTGCCTCCAGCTCTCTGTTTTCTTGCTGTAGGGCAGCAATCTCTTTGTCTTTTGACAGCAGTACATCGGCGTGCTGGGCAAGGTCACGAGCTCTCTGCCGGGCAAACGCCCTCTTGTACTGCTCCACCGACCCGGGCCTCATCAGTGACGGGGAATTGACCTGTAGAAGAGCAGGAAGGAAACACTGTTTAGTCACAGGAAAGGGTTTCAAAAGAAGAAGTCTGTAAACATTGTTGTTGTTGTTGTTGTATATGTTTAAAATGAGAGAATAATTTGTGATTATAAAAATAAGGAGAGGTTAAAAAATAACTAAGATTCATCAGCCGGCTGAAGACAGTAGTTACCCTCAAAGAAAATCTAAATATCATAAAGTGGCAGCTGTCCTAAAAAAACACTCCAGAGAGGTTGTCAGATACCACTTTCAAGCCTCTGTCTGACTATTTTCAGAGGTTTTTGAGGAATTCATGTCTCTCACTTTGGCTAAAAGAAGAACCAAATTGGTTAGAAGAGGTCTAAAACCAGCTGTTTACCAGAAGCTCCTGAGCCACAAGTTTTGGACGTTTCTCTTAATATATATATTTATATGTACTGTATATATATGAGCAGCAGGACAAGAGGGGAGTGTAGCAGTGAGGGGTTCCTCCCTCTGTCTTTTAAACAGGTGCACTCAAAGGTGCGGCCCTAAGTGAACCTGGAAGTCCTCTCTAAAGTCTGCTAAAGTGTGCAGTGTTTCTATTCAGCCCCCCCTCCCCCCGTATTGTATCAAATTATTCAACACGAAGCTGCTGATAATCGTCAACAAGACTCCCATTTACCACGTGCTAAATCATTCCATATAACTTGTTACCAGATATAACGGGTTTGAGAACGAGTCACTGGGTCAGAGTGACTCATTATCACTCTGATGAAACTGTTCAGGATATTTTTTCTTTGTGCCATACCACTCTGAGGTTGGCCTCCTGCAGTTTTCTCGCCCTGTCTTCCAGCCTCTTAGCGAGAACAGCCAGCTCTGTGTTCTTTCTCCGCAGCCGCCTGACCTTCTCCTCGGTCTCTGGGGCGCTGCTCTTCCTCTGCAAACACGGGAAACAAATACCATCATCGGACACTGCCTGCAGCAAGTTACACCGACACAGTCATGATAAACATTAAAGGCAAAACAAAGTAAGGGAGGCTTATTTATGGATAGAAAAAAGAAAACTGTCACAGTAATTATCCACTGATAAAATTAATAAAATGACTTGGTGAAGTAAAAACACCTATCTGAAACAATGCTCAGTATTAATGGTTTGTTCCTCCTTTCTTTGCACCTGGCCTACTTTCTAGGAAGCCTTTAGTCATGACAATAAAAGTGGTTATTTTTAGTCTCACCAGCAGGCCATTCTCCTCCCTCAGTGTGGAACAAGTCTTCTCCAAATCATCCAGGGCTCGCAGGAGCTCAGAGTTCTGACGCACCAGGAACCCGTAGTCAGTGCCATTCTAGAAAAAAAAACAAGCAAACAAGAACAGATACAGTTCAATACCAGCTTCGATACAAATTCAAGAGTATCAAGGTAACTTCTTTTTAAAAAAACTCAAAAAAGGGATTGACGTTTTGTTCACGTCTGAATTATAGAGATGACTTCCTCAGCTGTGGGCCAGTGTTTACATCGTGCTATCTAATAGTGTCAGACAAATGACCGCACAATGAAAAGGCTTTTCATTAGACCAGCTCACTCAGCCTTTCACTGGCACACAACTCCTATTACAGCACACTAACTCAGCAGATGAGGGAGGAGAGCTGGGCTTGCATATTAGATATGGAGAGATGGAGAGAGATACACAGGGGATTTCCTATTTTACACTTTCATACATTGGTCACTTTAAATCAATGACTTGTCTGGGCGCAGATAGCCTAGCGGTTAGGACGCCGCCCCATGTCCAGAGGCAATAGTCCTTCACGTAGCGGCTGTGGGTTCAAATCTGATCTGACCTTTGCTGCAGATAATCTCCCACTCGCTACTCCTAAAATATCCTCTCTCTCTTCAGCTATCTTAGCCTAGCAAAAAGGCCCAAAAACATCTTTAAAACGCATCCTTTTGATGACATGCTCGTCTTTAAAATAAAAGGCTATATCCTTGCAGACAACAACTCAACTCAACATATACTTGGTTAGACTCTAGCTGCTCGGGACAGGAGACAAACAAACCTTCAGTTTTCTTCACGCTTTACTGAAGCGCTTATCTGGTGAAAGTAAGGATTTGTTGCAGGCCTCGAGTCTGAAGGTTTAGATGGTGGACTTAAATGTAATGCATATTTAATGACTGCAGTCAGCTGTCATGTATTGGCATTCATGAGGTTATTTATGGTGGAATACTCCTGGGGGTTTCACAAATTAGCTTGTTATCTTGAGAGCTGTTAGTGAAGCTGTCGATGTGGTAGACAGTGGACGTGGCAAAAAGTCAATGTGGTGATCACGCCTGTCAGTCACGTTGGAAACCTCAGGTTGTTTTTTTAATTTGAGTGGAAGAGACGCCCCCCCACCTGTGAGTGTGACACCCAGGATAGCTTTAAATACATAAGAAGGAGTGCACATATTAATTTAAGGGCTGTAGTGACAGCAGAAGGACAAACGTGGATATTAGAAAGGCAGAGAGTAAGAGTGTGAACAAAATATCATCAGTAAAGAGAGTAAGTTAGGGTAAGGGTAAGTGTTTATTGTTTCGTTACATCACTGTCAAGAAGCTTCCTCCATGTGTTAATCACGTGTTGTAAGAAACTGATTCATGTGGGAAAAAAACTAAACCTTTATGACGAATAAAACATTGATGTAGAGGAGAGACGAGAGAAGGGGCGAGCTGCCTTGTGCAGAGAGCAGAGTGCGTGTCTGTGTGTTTGGAGAACAGATTAATGTAATTTATGGATTCACTTTTTTAAAGACATTTTTGGGGCCTTTATTGGATCGGACAGCTGAATAGAGACAGGAAATGTTGGGAGGAGAGAGTCGGGGACTACATGCAGCAAAGGCCCGAGGTCAGATTCAAACCCACGGCCACTGCGCTGAAGACTAATACCGCCTTACACGGGTCGTGTCAGCATAGCTGAAGAGAGAGAGGATATAACCGCTAGGCTATCGACGCTCCAATTATGAATTCACTCTTAACGTGAAGAACAGATTAAAAATGCAATGAATCTACCTGTAATGCGATCCTTCTGAGATTATGGATTTGTGTGACTTATTAGGTTGTATTTATAACAAAGACTGTAATTTATTAGATTCATTTTTTGAACACACACACACATCTCACAGCATGACAGCCGCACACAGATGGCTCCACATGTGAAGCACCAGTAAACCCGTCATAATGGACTCCATTATGTCTCTATAACACACTTGGGATCTCATTACCAATCTGAACAAGCCCGATGCCACATCGACACTTCTGTGACATCGCAAAGACTCATTTCTATATTAAAAAATCCAGATGACATGCTGACCATGAGATTGTGTTGCCTTGGTAACAGCAGAGGATGAGCAATCTGGGAGCTCTGCGGGGGCTTTGGTGCTACTTTACCTGTTATTTAAGTCAGAACTAATGACCAGCTGTTTACTAAACAGCAGCTGAGGCCTCTGTAAATTCATTTTCACTGTACAACTGTAAAGTGGTAACATTGAGTGAGACCACACAGTAGGGCTGTCAATTCTTAGATTAAATACAAACATGTATCCAAACCTGGGGGAGAAAGTTCACATTTGAACTGTAATGAGTCGTTTAAATTCAGAATCTGAAGTCTATCAGCGCAAGAGGTTTTTAGTGAGTCGCAGATGTTTGCAAGGGGGGGAATGAAATGTGACAAAAGGTCTGTTTATTCATTCTCAGTAGGTGGCGGTAATGCACTGTTATGCAACGCTAGTCATCTGCCATTAAACATCAAGAGAAGAAGAAGACTAAGTTTGTTTATATGCTGCCAGTTAGCGTTGGTAAAATGCAAATATGACACCATAAATATGAGTTTTCTTACATTGAGGACAAAAGGGAACAACAGAAACCTCAGTGTGTTGTGTTCAATGAAGTCCTGACACATGAACACATGATGTCATCAAAACTGAAACAGCGTTAGAAACCCAACACTCACATTTACATATATACACTTAAGCTGTTTTCACACATTCAACTCTTGAAGGACTGCTCCGGAGATTCTCCTGACCTGCCTGTTCACATATGCTGCTCACAGCGGAAGACAATCCTGGGGCGGGGGGTCTCCAGAGGTAAGTCATGACGTAAAAAAACAACACAGAAATAGCGGACAAAGCAACAGAGTCAGCTATACGATGCAATAATGAGAATATTTGTCTTTATATCAATGCTACGTGTAGTTGAACAGAATCACAATGTGAACTAAAGAGTGGAGAAGAACATACTGGAGAACAGGAAACATAATGCAGCAGGTTCATTAGAGCACAAAGATGGTAGTGGTCGTGTGTATACACTCACTCGGACTTGCTGTGGAAAAGATACTAGGGGTCTGGCAAGAGAAACACCGGGTAAAGTCTGAGTAAAAAATATGGCTGTTTGCGTTCACATATACAGCTCCTCCTTGAAATCTCTTGAGTTTTTCAGGTGTGAAAGCACTATCAGTGTTTCCCCTACCATTATATTAGGGGGGCGGCCAGCACCCCCACCCCCCCAAAGCTGTAAACCTAGGGGAAACACTGACTATTATAAATAAAAGACAAACCTGTTGGCTACTTTCAAAGACCACTGTTGTACTGTCAGGTTTTAAGATATTGACGTACGGTGATGTTTTGTGAGTTCTCTCCAAACAGCCAACATTTTCATTGAATACATTTTTATGGTTGAAAATGAAATTTAGAACTCATTACACCTCTTAGACCTCACAGCACAACCTAATGTCATTCGATGTCGGCTCAAATGCTTCAAGTAGAGACTGGTGCTGCCTTTTTTATTCTTGCAAATTGAAGCAGATCCGTTTCTATAAAGTGGGAATTCTTTAACAGCCAACAGACAGTTAGCCTCAGCTCCCACATGAGCCTTTGTGTCCTTGAGTCTTATTTTGTCATCAGTTAGAGGACTCAGCCGGTCCCAGTGCCCCGGTCTTCCTCCCCGGAGAACGATACTAAAGCCTAATCAATCACCTCAGCGGAAGGCCAGCCAGAGTGAACTCAGCCTCCGCCCGCCTCCATTCTCATTCTAATGATCTTGGAGTTCATCCATGTCTTGTAATTGTTTCCTGGGAATCCCACTGAAACACAGGAAAGGCTTCTCTGTAGGCATGAGGCAATGCGACTTACGTGCTCAATAAGAAACGCTCTTGTTTCTTTAGCTGAAACAAAAAAGAGCTGCAGGTGGTGAGATCCACTCGAGGCCTGTGCATTAGCATTCAGACAGTTCTCCTCTCTCACAGTAATGCTGGTTTTACACGGGTCTGGCTCACTTAGTAAGGCAGATGCAGCTCAGTAGCAGGACGGCAGGGGTCTGCACACAAACGTCTGTCAGGAGAGCCTAAGGCAGGGCAGACGGGCCAAATGGAGTCATTTCCCTGTGCTCTGTTTGAATCTGTCTGCAATAACTGTGGCTACAAGCAGATAACTGATGGAGTGCTAATTATAAATGACATCCTCACACACGCGCACTACAGTGACACAGGACTTAGCATAATTGTACTATCTACGTCGTGCAGAGACTTGAAGACATCATATACAAATGTTTTCTAATCCATCATTGTACTGTTTCACAGAAATGTCAATATGGGACAATAAAATGGGATAATTCTTTTGGACTGTTAAGCTGAGAGAAAGTTTATTGTTGGCCCCTAAAAATGACGACAGAATGTAACAGAAATTAAAAGTAAGTCTTGACGAAGCATTTCCTAAAATGAACTGCATAGTCAGCCAAAGCTGTCCACTCCCTTCATATTAGACTGAGTTGGTTGTCAGAGGTGTTGTGTGACTGCTGCTGTGAAAAGTAGTGTGGTGTATGTGCAGAGAAAGACCTCTTCTGCATTTGGGTCAGCTGTTCATCCCAATGTCATTCTCTGGTTGCTTTCTTTACCTCAGAAGAGATGTTGAACACCTTTGGGTTTCTCAGATTACAACAACAAGAAGTTAGACTTAACGTCCCGTTAAAGGTCAAGAGCCCCTTTCACATGATCACTTTGGACTCTATTTTTCATACAAGGGATCTCTAAGTGCCGTTGAACATTTGAAGTTTAAATTCCACAACGCTGCAGGTTCCTCCTGTGGAAGCGACCATTGCAATCTAAGAGCCTGTCTCCCATCACAGGGGTTTTAAAATCATATCTGAAATAAAAAATGTAGTTTACAAATTGCACATTAGAACAACCTCACACATAAACGTGTCTCTGTTTTAAACTGACGACAAAATGACACACACTAAAGGACATAAGTAGGATTTAACGTGTGTTCCAGTAGAAGCAACATACAACCTCACGTAAACTAAACCGTGATCGAATGGGTG